GGACTATCTTGTCAAAAATAGTTCCGGCGATGGTTTGGAGGTGATTGGATGGTTGATGCAAAAAGTTATGGAACAAAGAGGTGCATACCTCGGTCTTGATCGATGGAAGCAAGAGCTCTTGTACCTAGTGGAAAGGATTGCAAGCGATGATTGCCCTTGAAGGATTAGGAATTTTGTCGAGTTTCTGTTGTACAGGCTTGAACATTTCGAATTCCTGGAGGGTGCTTTCGTTGCTGGAAATGGTTTTTTGGAGAATCAAATTGAGCGAAAATACATCGGATCAAGCAAACACCGATCGAGAAAGTTGTCGAGTCTAATCTGGCATTGCTATTGTGATGGAGAATGTGCTCCCCTTCCTCCCGACCGAATGCAGGCAAAGTGAGTACGGTTCTGATGACAGTGAACCCCCCAATGCCGAGAATAGCGATGGAGACAGCGATAGCTACTACAACAAGGATCTATATAGCGGAAGTGACTACTAAATATAATCACGCCTTCCATGCGTATAATACAATTTATACTTTCGGGATTCGTACCATATCATATCATAAACAATTTTTTATGTAGCACAAAAAAGTACAGAAGGACTACTCTATGAGTTATTATCACAGCAATATCGGAGACCAGCCTCGAGAATGCACGGTGGTCGCAGAATCACCGTCTAACCAGTACCGATCTTTCCATGCGTCCCTTGGATTCCAGACTACTGATTACAGCGAATGAATCTCAATGCACATTTACCCCAGCATCATAACTCGTCTTCTTCCTTAATCTCCTCCTTTTCTTCGCCCATGCTGATGATTTCATTGAGTTGCGACAGCCCAAACCGCCTTATTTTATTGAGAAATTGCTTCCTCTTGCCCTGCGGCTTCTCATCATCCCTATCGCGTTTGTCCAATTCATCGGCAAGCTTCTTTTGTAATCGTTGCTCCGACCATTCGCCAGCATTCAGTAAATACTCCTTTACCGTTTTCTTGGTGCCTGCCTTGAGTAGTTGAAGCTTGTCCTTGGTGCCTTGACCGTTGTCAAGGGCTAGGTCTCTTGCGATATCCTGAATCACCTTCTGTATGACGGCTTTCACTTGTTTTTCTATCAAATCATACACGGCAGTCGTTGTACATCCTCGCCTTCCGGTAGCATCCACTTTGGCAGATTCCTCCTTGATGATGCGTTCAAAGGCCTTCAACTTTTCAAAGGAAAAGGTAATATTGGAAATTGGTTTTTGCAATGGTCTGGAATTCAAAAGAAGGTGGACGTCTCCTGCAAAGGCGATGCTTCCAACTCGAACCATGGAATCTTCTGCATTGTAATCTTTCGCTGGTGCAATCATGTCAGGGTCCTCAAAGGTAGGAGGAAATCCCTTCTTGCTCATCGCAATCCTATACAAGTTACCACATGAAAAGAAGCACGAAAATAATATTAAAAAGAATGAAAGTGGGGAAATAGACTCTTTCTGTGGCATAGACGAGAGCACCGAATTTTCTGAACCACCAAACACACATAGACACTACGTACCAGTTGTTTTTAGTCAGAAAGACATTGAAAAAGTCCACCAGTATGAACACATCGTCGACTTCAATTTCTACACATGGCTTGAAGTAAGAGTCCCAATGTAGCGCAATCCGGTGAATTCGTAGGGCATCATCGTGTGATGAGTCATCATCAGGTAGTCGAATGGTGAAGTTATGAATCAACAATCGTCGTTCCACCACATTCAGCTGGACTTTTTCGGCCAGACAAAATTCTCCCATCAACTTCAAATCTCGATCCATTGCTGGTGTAACAAGAAGACCTCCATGGTGGATCATTCGACTGACAATGTTTGATGGATCGACAGTTAACATGGACGACCACGAGGAGGACCCGAAGAGGGTTTTCTTGATCCCCGTCACATTGCCGTATTTTTCTCCCAAGAAATCTGTCGTCCTGGACCAAAAGGAAGGATTTGCTTGTAATGAAACTGCTAGAAAGATCAGTCCCAGGAGGGTACTATAGAAGATCATGCTTCGTGCCATGACTATAGCGATGTGATTATGTGGTGGAGTGAATTGTGTGTTGATGACATTATATGAGCAATAAATTTTCTGCAGTCAGTCGTGGTGATACCTTTAGTCGGTTTAGTCAAATTACATTTGTTTTTTTTAAATCACTGTATCTGCAGGAGTAGGTACGCAGTTCGCCAAGCTAATAGACATGGTGATTATGTACCGTGGTTTCACCCTTCAACCATTTGCTCTGGTTTGGAGGGTTGGATGTATTCGGGTTTCTCCAACAAAGTATGCCATAGATAGTTGATCATTTTAGTATCATCCGCCCATGGAATTGTAGAAATCTTGGAAAGCCAGTCGATCCATTTCGATTTACTGGGATAGCCTCCAGTTTCTGGTACCACGTAGTCCAATCTTCGATGAAGGTTATTGAGAGACCTGATGAGATCGGAGGTAGCTACCCATGACGGATCGTCCAGCTGGATATATCCCATCCTCGCTTTGCAAGTAGAAATGTTGATGAGCGTTGCATAGTCTGTCAGCTGTGGATTCTCCTTCAGGCTAAGTAGATCACCCATTTTACAGCTGGGGGAAGACTTCAATGCTGTTGATAATACTTGAAGATGACGGTTGTCTAACCCAAGTCCATCTAGTCCGAGGCGCCTTGTTTGAAACAGAAGAGCAGCATGTGAGATGAGAAAGCTTGCTGCCAACATATCCCCTTCCGTAAAATCCACGCTATTGACTTACCACCACTTTGGTTTCGCCTTCATCATATCTTGTAATGCTTCTGGACGAATTAGAGGGGCAGTATTGATGGAGTCGGGGGTGACGCATCGACAGAGTCTCAATTCATCCAAATCTTGGCAACTATTGGTAATAGAGTGAATCAAACAGTCAAAGACTGCTCCCTGAGAACCAGCATCGATCATCAACATCTTTGGATGTAGAAAAAACCCCAGAATATTGAGTTGCTTTATCGTTCTACTCAGCTGACTCCGAATAACATTCGCCAACCCATCCACTTGCTGTTGTGATGCAAAGACCAACCCTCTCAATTCGATTTCCGTAAGTTTCCACTGCAAATTGCCGTTAGTCCACAGCTGCAACAATGCTTCAGTCATTGCCGGACTGCCGAGAGGCAGTCCATTTTCTTCCGTTCCCATCTTCCAGTAGGTGAGTGTCGAGGAATGACGAGTTCCGAGTGCATTCAAGATTGCTAGCTGCTGTGCCGGTGATGCCAATTGCCACACCCTTCGTCCCCAAATAACTTGCGTTAGACCTGGACTTCCTTCAATTGCCTGACCAATTTGTGTGATGAGCGCCGTAGCATCCCTTGGAACGCCCTCAATAGGAGGGAGAGTAGAGTCGGGATCCAAAAACCATTCCAGTCCTTCATCAGTAATTTTCAATGCCTTTAGTCTCCCGTTCCTCACATCTTCCATGTATTCCATCCACAGCTCGGGAGGTGACTTGGTGATTGCCCGACGATTTGCACCTGCATTTGTGGCGTCATTAGGATCGTCGTGTTCGGGTTCCATATCGGCATGGTCTGGAGGCATCTGTTGTATGAAGGTTGCCAAGAGTGCCGCTTGTGGTCCGCTTGGCAAAATCACCGCCTCTGGCTGTGGTGCACCACCGTCCTCATCATCATCATAGTCTTCCTCACTGTCGTATTCAGAGTCGTAGTCATCGTATTCGGAATCGTATTCTATAATTGATGCAAAAAGGCATCAACAAACCAAGAATTCAGGTCATTTTCAAGATGACATCTCATTGCAAAATCGTCGTGTCTTCTTACCGCCATTTTCGTCGTAGTTTCCAGGAGGGGCACTCATTGTTCTGTTTCCAGCAAAAAAAGAAATCTTCGAATATGTTCAATCAACGGATGGTGTTGTGGTTTGGTGTACAAGTAGTAGCATCGAAGACTGCGAATTTTAATAGCGAATGTCACCACATCATAAAAAATAAAATCAATTTTCGTCATCAATATTGCCTGTCATTCTCCCGCCATTTGGCTCAAAACATATATAAAAGCTCGTTTTCAAGATTCTGATGACGCAGTATATAGTGAGGTCGAGAGAGGAAAAATGGTACAGTACAGTATCTGGTTGGGCCCTGATGAGGGCATGCAGCGCTCTACCGGTATGTACTAGGTTCTCTTGACTATGATCACTATATTTTACTCTAAATGTATAGTAGCGGGACAGCACGTTATTACTCTGTGCTTTGAACTAGTACCTTGCCCTCAGTTTCTTCTTTCTGTACTTTTTCTTTATAGTCTTGAATGATTGACATCTCTGAAAGCGCCTCTACGAGTGCATCATGATCCGAACCTGAACCTGTCGCAATGTACCCACGTTCATTGCAGTTGGAAGGAGCATCCTTTCGATAAATATCAATATCTTTTCCAAACAGATCGGTAAGCCTTCCACCCATTGCTTTCAGGATGGCTTCCGGCGCACACAAGTCCCAAGGGCCGCCGTACTTGTGTTGGATACTACAGGCGACTTCTCCCAGCGCTGCTCCCAAGATTTTATTTCCAGCACCTCCATAGACCACGTTGGATCCTCCATATCGACCTATGATGCCTTCAACACTCTCCCTCATGACTGGTACCGGTGAATCGCCTGTGGCATAGTGCGGGGGTGGATATTTGAGGGCATTCACGTACTTATTTAATGGAAAAGGTCCCCGAGTAAGAGTCTTTCCAATGGTTCCTGTTCCAATGTCCGCCAATCCGTAAATGATTGTCGATTCGTTCTCCTCGTCATCGTTGTCACCTTCTAATTGACCAGTGGGAAAGGGTAGTCCAATGGCACCTGCTACTGCCTCCCCATCAATGGCGATTCCAACTAGTACCTGACAGTTTTCAAGCCGACCTTCCACAAATTCACGAGTCCCATCCAACGGATCAACAAAAATAGTCACAGCCGAAGGATCTAGTTCAGGTGTTTCCCCAATATCATCTTCAAACATATCTAGCTTGAGTGGTTCATACTGTCCCTTGTTTTCCTGTTCTAGTTGCTCGTTTCCGTCTTCTTCACCGACGATGTTCAATTCGGCGCCCCATTGTGCTCGTAAGGAACCGATAATGGCCTCTTGTGCTGCGAGATCAGCTCGGGTCAAGGCAGATCGTGAATCTTCATCGTCCTTGTATTCAAGGCCTACAGAATCTTCGCCGCCATAAATGTTGTTGATTCGGTCTCGCTGGACCTTTCTTATTTCCACACAACCTCGTTGGCAAGCATCGACGCAAGTGGAAAGCAGTGGCGCAAGTTGTAACGCCTCGGAAGGAAGTACTACTACTACAAGAGCGGCTACCAACAAGAAGATTGATCGCAGCATGGTAATATTCGGAACAGATGGTCTTGCGGACAGAGTCTTTGTATTTTCAAGGCGCAGTGGTTGACTGTCGAAAATGCATCCAACCCAACAGTCTATTTATTGTATCGTCTCATGGTGCCAAAGTTGGTTCATCATTCTTCGCTTGCGTATGTCGTCGCATTTTGGAGATGGAAGGTCGCCCGTCATGCGACACGTGGAGTGGAGACTATGTTTAGTCAGACTAATCGAACCGCTATGAGCAGATCGACCGGTCGACCGAAGGATGGGCATAGCTAGAGGTAACATGTTGGTTCTGTACATACGGTAGATGAAGACTTAATGTAAACACACACACAGTCAGTGGAAGAAGACAAAATACCTACTCGCTAACATCTAAAATCTACTATCTTCGCCTTTGCAACTAGTATGTATTGTTCAGTGTAAGGCAGAACGGAACGACTTCAGCCGTACCGGTACCTGGTACTCGGGATTGGGTCCGCAGACTGATTTGCTTGTTGCAAACCCGGATTTTGACCAAAAAATGCCACGATTAGAAACGAAAATCACAGCGTCCATATGGCTTCCATCTTATTGCATAGTTCGTACGATGGATGGTGATCACTGATGAAATAACATCCTTTGGAAGCCTTGCAAGGTAGACTTTGATTAGATCATCTTTACTTGGTGGGGCATTGGCGGCATCTACGCAACAATCATACCACAACACGGATGCTGATTCCGGCCTACAGTTCATTTCATTTCATTTCATTTGAAGTATCCCTCTCCGGATCTCTTTTCGACAAGGGCCCGGTCGTTTTCATTGTAAAATGCTTTGTAGACAAAGGAGTGGATGTGATCTGGATGCCGACGGTCCGATTGATTCATTCGTTTGGCTTGGTGCTCGATTCATTCGTAAAGAGCCCATATTAAATATATGCTCTGGAATCCCAAATTTTGCGATCAAGGCAGAAACGCGAAACAGAATTACAGTCTCTTGAGATTTGGACTGGCCAGAAGAAGGTTGTGGATATTATCAATGATAGTCTACAACCAAAGGTCCATAAAGAATCCATCTTTCAAAAGAATCGCTTCGCTGTTTCGAATCAATCGCTGGTGGCTGGGTGGTTCAGTTCGTGCTCATGCCCTGTTTGCGCTCACCTTTGGTTTTGCAATGCATCGCTTTGAAACACGAGGGCCAAGTAGGAAGGTACAACCAGATCTCATATTGGGGGGAGTCACTTACTGAAGGATGCAGGGGTGGAAACATCATCACATTCGAAGCTCAAGATGCCTGCCCATGCTGCAGAAGGGAGCCATCCACTGTATCATCCATGCTAGACAATGGGCGCATTCGTCGATTCAAGCGAAATTCAATGTCGTTAGCACCTTAGTGTGTTCTGCACAAAGCCTCCTGAAACCAGAAGTATGTGTTACTGGTGAAACCCTCGAATGGGATTGAGACGGTGAAGAACAAATCAGCAACTCGCCAGTTGCCAGCAGTTGGGCCAACAAACCATCCGGATTCCGTGCGTGGTGCAGTCACTTCAGCTTTGAAGTCGAAAGGACCTCCTCTGTATGGTGCTAGCTACGAGGACGATGCGAAGTTTCCCGGCAGACATTGGGATGTCTACTTTGATCCATTCATTGAGGACAGAATTGTGATGTATGTTGCAATGTGGATTCCTCTGCTATGTCCGTCAAATGCAGAGCTCCAACGATCCCTTTTCTATGATTACAAGTATGGTACGACTTGGACCAAGGGAGCAGTCAGCAATCAACTTTGAGGGAGCGGATTCAAGGAATACCTGTAGTTCTACTGGTGGAGCAGCGGAAGTTTTCAGAGGCAGATGTTCAACGCTACAAGATGTCGTGGTTCGTGAAATGTTGGCTATGCATTTCAACTGTGGGACACTGATACTGTGTGGCATTTGGGAGGCTTGGACCATTCAAGTGAACTTCATTTACGACAAGTTTCTCTATATAGTAGTTATAGTTATTATGCATTCTTTCCATCGTAGTTGATAGCTCAATAGGGTGGTAGCTATTCAGCATCAAAGCTACTGTTCCGCATGTACCAAGAATAGTGTGCTTCCGGTTTCGCAACAAGTGGCCAGTCTCCGGACCCCCCATTCCATCTCGTTATGCTCATAGTCGTTTGGTTCGACGTGACGATCATATCATCTCCTCGTTATCATACATACAGTGTACAGTGTGAGCTACAAAATGACAGACTGTACTCCACTGGCTTCATATGTGGCAGAGTTATATTTATAATATGATTTTTAAAAATGTATCGAATCTATTCAAAAGGCAAGGTTGTTCGTGCTACCTTGCGTAGTGGTGTGGTGGAGGTGTTTGCTGCCACTTCTTTGTTCTTGTTGTTGTTAAGGAGTCCGAATGACCGCATAGTCCGTTGGCACACCCACATCATTGACTTGAGGTTCCGCCCCCTCATCGGCAATCTTGAGAGTCTGGAATGGACGCACCAATTTTTGGAGGCCCGAATCAGCACCAGTAGGTGGTGGTGTGCCAAACTTATTGGTCCCATTCGACCACTGCCCAATACCAGAGAAAAAGGTTCGGAGGGTAACCGTGTCTGGAACTACTTCTAGGAATTCTTTGTGCCACTCCTTTTGTCGTTTGGATGCGTGGGTAGACGCAAACTGATTGAAGTACTTCGCAAAGGCACCAAATCCAGCCAACCAGAGAAACATGGTCGGAACCTGTTGGTACTTGCAGGTTTCGCCACCAGACACTGTGGACAGGGCCATGGCACAATCCCTTCCACTGGCTATGGAAGATACCGCATGGAGAATCTGTCCGGAGCCCCATGTATCAGGATCGTTGAGCATGGCAATAACAGCTTTGCCAACGTCCAAACTTGATACGTACGGGATCTTGACCTTTGGTGCAAAGGCGCTCATAAGTTTTCCAGGTCGTGACAAGGAGTTCATGGGACGTCCTCCATCCATGATCTCAAAGAGAACTCCAGATCTGATGATATCATAGTGGAAGCAGCCCATGTTGACACTCATTTGCTGCCACAAATATCGCTCAATGTGATGCTTCGCCTTGTAGCTAGTCAGAGAATCTGGAACCTCGTCACATGCGAAGAGGGAAATGAAAAAGAGATGGTCGATTTGATCTTGATGTTCTGTGCAGGTGTCAATCAGGATCTTGGCGTTCTCAAATTCGCAGTCTTCTTGGGACTTCTTTGCAAGTGTTGTTGTAAGCTTGTTGTTACTAATATTGTTTCGAGGACCGAATTCATCGCCAGTGATCAAGACAACCACCGATGCTTGTGATTCCTTCAGGGCATTCTCAAAGCTTTCGGGATTACCAATTTCACACTTGATCGGAGTGATTCCCTTTTGCTTCAGCATTATTGACTCGTGTGTCGAGCTGCTGCTGCTGCTGCTGCTGCTTACGGTTCCGAAAAGCTTGAACGAATCATCATCCTCTTGAAGGAAGGCATTACAGATTCCTTGACCTTGTCGGGTGTTGGGAAGGGTTATTAATATGTTCTTTGTCATCATTGTGTATGTGTTGTAACGTAAAGCTGGCACTTGGGTTTTATGTGTTTTCACCATAGGGTTCTGATGTTGTCATCCTGCAGGGTTCTGATGTTGTCATCGGTTCGTGTTGATGATTGATAGGAAACGCGCTTTTCGTACTTGTATTCGGATTGCTGTTTCCATCCATCAGAAAAATCATTTGTTGTGTGTCGTGTGTTCATTAGTTTTTGGTATGCCATTTTGGGGGTCTGAAAAGGGAGAATCCTAATTTTTGATTGGAGCGATATTGTGAGGAGCGCATCCTTGCTTGATCGGCAGATGATCACGAGGGGCGTGTACCGGTAATAGAGCCACTCTAGCGACGGCCAAGTACCCACAACCGAACATTTTTGGTACCGAACGAACATCTTCTTGGTTCTTTGCTCGAGCTTCACTGTTATGAGCAGAATGTTGAAGAATGCGAGTCATGGCGTTGATTGACTCGCAGTTGTTTGGAGCGCATTGTTTTGGTATGTAATCTTTGAGCAGATTTTTCTCGATTGTTCGCATTCGTTTCAAAAGAAGTTTGGTTCCAGATTCGTCGTTAAATCGGTGAGACATTCAAGCTGAATTTTTGAAATCGTTAAATGAACTTGACGGGATACATAGAAGGCGATGGAAAGCTGTATCACTCGCACTCTGCATCAGGGTTCAGCTGTTTATTTTCATGGTACATTTTTCTACGTGCTTCTGTTTGGCTCATGGATCTATGCCAGTTTCGATGCCATGCATATGTATTGGTTGAACTTTTTTCACACCCATCGAATGAATCATCCTGCAGGGGGGATTTTACCACCCCCTCAGGTGCGATCAGTGTCTTCCTCATTTTTTGCAATCCTGTAAAAACCATAATCACACCACACTCCAACAAGCAACACATCCACAAGGACGACCACTACCTACAACAATAGCGCTATTATGATCATGAATAGAACGTCAATGTCTTCTCCCAACAGTATCAGCTCCTCACCTGTCACAGTATTGTCTGTAGTCAGCCCACTAGACGAGCAATTGGTAACGAAATGCCAGCAGCATCATCTGGAGCTCGATTGCAGCAGCAGCAGCATCGACGACGCTACTGCTGTCACGTTCAATGCATGGGAGCTTCCCATTTTGGAAAAAGAGGAAGAGTCCAATCATTTGGTCCAAAATATTTTGGATGATCTCCAACATGCCCAAGAATCGGGCAGTCTCTGCCAATTGTGCGAAGCCTGGAACGCTCTGGGTTTGATCCGCTTGCACACGAGACGAAATCCTGCGGGTGCTTTGGAATGCCATGCCTTGGCGCTCCGACTGATTGCGTGCAATGGCGATGAAGATTGCATGAAAAAGGCAACGACACTGAGCGACATGGGTCTCTGTTACGAACGTCTGCAACAAACCAAAGAAGCCGTGTTGGCCTACAAACAAGCCATGGATTTGATGAAGGGAACCTCTTCCAGTCATCCACAAAAGATGTCTTTGGAACGCACCATGGCTCGTCTTACCAGAACGTAACAACACGAGACCATTATTGTACTGCTGCCATGTATGGGTGAGATGACGATGACCGCTCCCTACCTACTACCTAGAATGATATGAAACAAGAAGACTTAGAATGTAATAATATATAAGAAAGAATATACAATTAGGACTATCCAACCAAACAGCTTATTCCATGATTACATTCTCAATGACACCTCTAGCTAGTCCTAACAGGAGAAGATGGATTGTAATCGATGGTACCGGTACATCAGAATTCACACCTTCAGTTTCAAGTTTTCCTTACCTCCTGTTCGTACCACCAGTCCCGGTTTGGGCAATATGGATTTTCAAATGGGAACTGTCGCAGGGACTAATAAGACTGACTGACTGACTCACTCCCGACTGACTGACTGACTGACTGATTGACTCCCGCCTTTTGATTTCTCTTGCTCCCGCGTTGGGCTCAAAACGGATCGTCGGTCCGTCAATCCTTTTTCCTTACTTGTGACTTGCTTGTGACCGTTCGCCCATTTCCTCTTGCTCGCAGGCCGATCAACGCCCGCCCGTCAAAATAAAAATAATTCGTGTCGTGGGGAGTGAGTCGAAAGCAGATCTGCTTGGATCGATCGATCATCGCGATCGATATACCGGTAGGAGACAAGAACTCCAGCACCCGTCATCACGTACGGTCCGCAGCAAAACCAAGAAACAACTGTGACTACAGTAACAAACAACACTAACTACAACACACAATAAAAGTTGCAAGGGGAAGAACATTCAAAAATGTCCGCAGAAGAATCCTCTGCAAGTGCGTCTGCTACACCAACAAACGAATTAGAAAAACATCATGGTGATGATGATGATGGCAATCACAATGACAATAATGAAACCGAGAATCACAAAGACATTGATTTCTTGCAAGCCAAATGCTCGCTCCTCAAAAATCAATTAGCCTTCTTACGAAGCCAACAGAAACAAAAGAAAGAACAACGCAAGAAGGAAAAGGGAGAAATCGTTTCCACCTTCAAGAGCATGAAGGGATACATTGACAATTTGGAACGCGAAAACAAACAATTCAAGGCCTTGTTGGCACCATCGGCTGGTTCGGAAGAGGATGAATTGATGGTGTTGCGACAGCGGTTGGTTTCTATGACAAGAGAAAACCAACAACTCAAACAACGTTTACTAGCAACCGAAACCCAAAAGCAAGCATTGGAAACCCAATGCACACGACTCGAAACCCAAGTCTCCCAATCCAAAACTACCGAAGCCCAACTCCGAGATCAAGTCTCGAAGTACGAACAAGTGGTCGATCGAGTGCCTCCTCCTCGCATATCAGAAATGGCTGGTGCTAACAATAAAACTATGCCTCAGAGCAGTAGCATGTCTGTCATGGCGGATGCTTCTGACGCCGGTTCGCGGAGCAACACGATTGACGAATCCATGTTTGGTGCTGGTGCTAGTGCTGATGGTGCACCACACGAGGAAGACATGTTTGGAAAAGTGGTGGATCTCACACCCATTACACCCAAGTCTCGAAGTACTTCTGGTAATACTGCCAACAAGAGCACCAGCAGTCTTTCGGCCTTTAGTAGTCGAGGAGAAGATGATACAGTGTTTGGTGTGGCGGATCGGGCGGAACTTGCCTCGATTGCCGATTTGGACGACGAAGACGACTCTGACGATGACAATAACGACGACAATGACAATGACAACGCAAAAGGCCAAGAATGGGCGGGTTCCATTGCCGCCGATAATATTTCATTTCGATTGGAGGTTATGGACGACAAGAAATTGGTGGATCAGCTGCCTCCTGGTCTATTGAAGGGAGGAGCACCCAAACGCGGTGGTGGCAAACGCACGGGACCCTCGTCCGTGGCAGCCTTGCCAGATGCCTCGGTTACCTCGGGAGGTGCCAGATTAATGGATGACAATATTACAGTGGGGGATGACAATGATAATCTCTTTGGCAAGATGGTGGATCAGACACCAGATTTGTCGACTCCCTATTCCTTCAAAAAGACTGGGTCGTCGGTTTCCTTTCGGGATCACTTGGAGGATGATACGGTGCAGGGTGTCACGGAAAAGCTGGAAATTGAATCTGTTGCCCGACAAGATGACGAAGTTTCGAGTCATGATGATGATGGGGTAACACTGGACGATGACGGAACACGAGATGGCATGTCCCTTGCGGGAGCCAGTCATATTTCCTTCAAATTGAATGTGAAGGAAGAAAAGAATCTAGTCGATCATGTTCCCTTGCGTCGTAGCAACAAACCGAATCATCATCGACAACGCGATGCGTCCGTGATGGCGGTGGGTGACAATTATTCCATTTCGAGTCTGCCAAACGATGATGCGATTACAGATGGGGCAAGTGGTGGTCGGAATGCCTTTGGGCCCATTGTGGATATCACTCCCAGTCTGTCGGCGGCACCGCCATTATCGACGAAATCAATGGCCACTTCGGTGGCGACTCAAAATAGTCTCTTTACCGATCTCAATGACGATTATCGCCATGGTGGTGATGCGGACACTCTTGGTCCTGCGTCAACAGTCGGGGATACGGATTGGGATCGGGATTCCTTGTCCACCTCCATGAAGGAATCCAACAACAAACACATGGTGGACCATGTGCCCAAACGAAAACGAATGCCAACCGATCTTTCGGTTCGAGTCTATTTGGATACCAATCTTGATAACATATCCCAAGTCGATACCATTGCCGAAGATGAAGAAATGGAATTTGGTCCCATTGTCGATCAGACACCCTTTAGCGCCACCAAATCAGTCATCAGTGGCAGCTCTACACGCAGCATGTCGGGACAAGTGTCCGTGGCGGGGTCTACCATGGCGGTCGGTGGTGGTGATACCACTCAAGATTTTTATGATTTGGATACGGTCCAAGATACCTTTATGGATACTGGGACCATTGCCTCGATACAAGAAGAGGGAGATGATAGTACTACTGGTGAAGAAGAAGAAGAAGAAGGAGAAGAAGAAAAAGTAGGAGAAAACATGGTGGATCATGTGCCGTCGCGACGCAAAATGCGGTCCGTGGACGAATCGATCCGTGTGTTGGTCGGTGCTAACGACGACATGTCGCAGGTGGATACCATTGCCGAAGATGGGATTTTGGATGATTTTGGACCCATTGTCGATCATACCCCACACATGGTAGATGTTGTGGCACCATCCGGCGGACCTCGATCCGTGGCGGCGTCGACGGCTGCCGTGGTGGATGACAATCGTACGGTAGGGGATGACCTTGAGAGCATGGCTCTTCATACCACTGTCACGGCAGAAATTACGATGGGCATGTCCGACGGAGAAAGCTTTGTTCCATTGGCTGGAGAAGAGGAGGAGGAAAAGCATGTGGTGGACCATGTCCCAAGCGAGGCAAACCATCCCAAAGTGGTCGGTGGTGGATCTGTGCGGGTACTTGTTGACCATGCCGAGACTCTGTCTCAGGTCGATACGGTGGCCGAAGATGAACGAGTCACCTTTGGTCCAATTGTGGACCATACTCCAGCATTTAGTGCTGCTAGATCGGTTGGTCGATCAGTGGGAGCATCCATGATTAGTGTCGGCACTAATGATGACAGCACTAGTATTCAGGACAATACTACGGTTGGATTTGGAATTGGAGGCTCTGTTGGAGGAGGAGATGACACTGGAAATCTAGATGACAATATGGCTCCGGCGTATAGGCCATCTGCCAATGAAGATAAGAAACTTGTGGATCACGTACCACAAAGTTCCTTCCCCAAGTCAGAAGATGTTTCGGTAGTTGTGCAAGCAGATCCCTTGGATGCAGTATTTGAAGTCGACGACGAAACTGGTGACGGAAACTTTAAAACGGATCGGTACGGCCCAATTGTGGACCAGACGCCACTCATGCGGCCATCTGCATCCCCGTCCGTTGGGGCTTCCATGTTGACTACGACGAGTGATGCTGCGATTGATTTGCGAACTGACGATGGAACCTGGGTTAGTGCTGGTGAAACAATAGGAGAAGTCAATTCGCGAGATACGAGCCAACCCTTGTTGGAATCATTGGAAGAGATGGAAGATGGCCCAACGGAAGCGAGTCAACAATTCATGGTAGAAACTGTGAACTCTCACGATGATTCGGATGACCTGACAGATGATGCTTACGTACGCGTACCAAAGGCAGATTCGACGGAACGGTTGAACGACAACGACGATGGGAAGCAATCCATTGCGAGTGACGAAGATGGTGGTTTCGACTTGAAAGAAATTCACAATTATGCGGAGGAATTGGCAGCCAAGGCTTCTGAAAGTAAGGACAACCCGTTTGATATTGACAATGTTGTTCAATCGTCACCTGAAAAAGTAAAGTCGGACGTCCAGGATTACATAGCGAGCTTGGCTTTGGGAACACAGAAGGACTTGACAACTGAGAATCGGACCGACTCGGTCACTGGATCTGTGGAAAGCTCGACTCACAGTGTGCAGGAAATGCAAAAGTACATTTCGGATTTGTCATCCTTGACTACCGCTGCTAAAGGCAGTAATGAAGATGGCGCAGCGAAGGCCTCTTCGGATCCGCACAAGGCGGAGACTCCCAAGAAGAAGGGTGATACAAGCGAGCCTGACGCAAGGAACGAGATCCTCGATGAGATTGGTACCTCCAAGAAGCAATCGGTCTTTGGAAAACTGTTCCGAGGAAACAAGAAAGAGGAAAAGGAGAGCAACCAAGGTGGGACTTGGGCCTGAGTCCGGCCCACGAAAATACTAGCTATAAGAGTCGTCGTTATCTTACTGATTAAAAAAATTATTGCGTCATTGTTTGAAGTCGCATTGATATTGCGTCTTATTTTTATTAAAAACAATTGCATAATTGTTTGAGTCGTATTGATATTGGAGCTCAACGCAGTTGTTGTCCGTCAGTGTCTATCTTCGTCTCGCTTTGTGACGACTGCTGCCCGATACTGTGACGTGTTTCATGATCCATAGGACGTTTCCATTGCCTTTTCCCGAAATACATTCATTATTATTGATAGTGGTTTGGACTTTATTCATCTTGTCCACACGACTTTCACTCCTGAATCTCTGCCTGTGGTGCCTCATCAAGGACTCACAGTACATTTCTAGTGCACCATCTCTGCCCAAAAAGCACTATATATAAGCAATAGTTAGGAAATTAGACTGGTATGATGGACCAGGAACAAGATTCTGGACTTGATTCGGCATCCTTTAAAGCTCCCGTAATGTGATCAAAGCAACCATGGAGTAATGGTGGCTGTTGACCTTTTCCATCATTGACAAGATCCCCAATCACAACATGGTGACGGCCGTGCGAAAGCAACGGTCTTCCCATGGACCTGGTTGCTAGATCGGAAAAGATATCATTGGCCTTTAATTTTTGCCACCTCGCAAGTTCGTTATTGAATGCAAAGGCAGTGGTCCGGTCCGGCATATTCCAATATCCCCGATTGTAAAGGTCCGTCATGGATGATGGAGTATAGTCCTTTAATCCTGCTGACAGGTCTTCCTTTTGCTTGTCGTAAAAGACTGCATTGTTGGAATCCAGGTAGAGTACTTCGTAGCCATTGGGTCGCATCAAGTCGTGGACTTGATAGGCCAACGAACATCCATATAGGTGCCCTCGTTGTTCCGAGTCAAACGGATATTGTTCTGCTGAAGATGAAGACTCACTGCTGCTGCTGCTGCTGACAAATCCAGGAAGCATGGCGAACCGAATGTTGGCCGGAAACTTGACATTGACTTCCATGACAATGACTGACGGCCGCACCGTCTTTAGGATACTATCCATGACAAAACAATCAAAGGAATCGATATCAATCTTGAGCAAATCCACATTTTGATCAAACCCATGTTTGGACAAGATGTTTGGTATGGACCCAGCCGTAATGTATGCAAAGTGAGTCTGGATCTTGTCACTGGGAAACCGTTCGGCCATTGCCGTCTCTTGGTTCGGATCACCGTCCATCAATAGGGCCTCCCATTTTTGGGTCGGATCGTCCAACAAGGGAAAGGTCGGATCGTCGTCTCGAACTCCGGCTCCCAAATTGACCAGTCGTAATAAGGACGGGTTCTCATTAGTATTGGAAAAGAGGTTCAAGAGCTTGGGCAATAACTTTTCCACATGCAAATCTCTTGGAACTGGCAAAGGAAAAGGGAGAACGTAACTCGGTTTGGAATAAGGACGCAGCAACCTATTGGTCATTTCGGATGGCGTTGCGGTAGTGATGGATGCGGCTGGAAGAGCTGCCAACGGATACGAGTTACGTCCCTCCGCAAGTAATGACATCAAGAGCAAGGTCAATAAGATCGCACCAAGAAAAAGACGATACAGTCGACATAGATTTCTTTCATCCTTGCTTCCCTTGCGGTTGGATGACAATCTTGGACGTCCTCGGGCTAGTTGATGAGGCATTCTATATTTTGCTGTATATATGGTGCTATCTATTTGTGGTGGACAGGGTGGTGATGAGTCTTTGTTCGTGTTCGACCATTTTTACAAGTAGACGAGGTACACGTACACTGTGTGTATTCTGTTTGCCAGGATATTTGTGGGATTTCGCACGACAATCATGCTTTGGCGATCGTGCCATGGATGAGTGTGATTTGTCCGCGTTATTTATTTCGCTTATTTCATGTGCATCGATCACGTGTGTGTTGGCATTTGTTTTTCGAATTTTTTTTTCGAAGAGACTCGATTCGAACCCATCAATAAAAAAGAAAATAAGGCCAGCAATGACCGCACAATCGAAATATTCCAAACTTTGTAAATGAATCCCGTCATCAACACATACTATCACAAGGACAACGGCAATTTTTACAACGCTTGATTTGATAGTATCCCATTTGCAGCTACTTTTCCATTCATTCATTCATTCATTTTGAAGATTATACATTTACTACGCTTTGCCCACCAAACACCACCAACCACACAACTTTTTTGGTTTGGCGTTTTCCTTTGGCACACACTACATCAATCTCGAAGACAACAAAGGACATATTACCTCTGCTGCTGCTACTGATACGATTACTACTGCTACTATTGCACACACACACGCACACACACACGGAACTATTTGATTCTCACTTCCTCTGCAAAATATATATAGTAGCACACAACGAACAATAACCAAACGAACCAACATGATGTCATTATTGTCAGTACCAGCATCGCCCAGCACGGCTGCTCCGACATCGCATCTATACCGCTTGCGAAAAGCACTCATTCCGTTGCTATGCTTTGTGGTTGGCTTTAATATCAACTTTGGAGGCATTTATCACGATATCTCGGATGGGAGTTTTGGAGGACATCCCATTATCGATGCGACCAAGGAATGGAAGAGTTTAATGGTGAAAGAGAAAGAAACTTTAAGTCTCATTATAGAGAAAGGAGAAAAAGACAACAAGAAAGACAACCTTGGTCTCAATAAAGATCAAGCCAAGGCAGATGAAGCTGAAAGAAGGCAATATGAAGAGGAGTCCGCCATTCTACGAGATCACATGAAACGGAACATTGAGGACTATGGATTTGACCCATGGGCGAATCAAGTTTACGACGATGATAGCGAAGACGAGGAATACTGGTGCGGGGAATATTGTTCGACACCAAAGGGTACTTGTTGGCGAAATACTACCATTACCGACCATTATCGTCCACCAAACATTACCCACACTACTACTACTGCTACACCAGCAATGACAACCGAGAGAACCAAGATTCGGCGTCGAAGAGGGGGAAAACCTATTATCCCAAGGCGACTGATTTTTACCTATCACACAAACTTGTTCGACTGCACATTTCCTCCACATCTCTACGACAATGTTCAGAAAACCATTCAAACATATGCTGATCTATGGGGCATTGAAAACAAGAGTAATGTTGAAGTCATGTTCTTTGACGATCAGGATTGTGCTCGTGTCATTGAAGCGTCGGAACCGAAACTGGTTCCAATCTTTTGGGCGGAAACAAATGGGTCCTATCGGGCAGATATCTGCCGAATAGCGGCACTTTACATGTACGGAGGATACTACTTGGATGTGGACATTGAACCAATCCAAGCACTGGATCCACTACCTCAAGTCGACTTTATAACGGCCCAAGCTGCAAATCGAGTATTCTTTCAAGCAGTCATGGCCTCCACACCAAGGCATCCACTTATGAAGCATACATTGGAAACCATGTTGGTGGATTGGTACATGATTCCAAAGATTATGAAGGACTACGGCAAAACGGAATACGAACCACTCTGGTTTCGAAGCCAAACCTATGCCGATATGCGGTTGGAACATGTAGTACAGTATGGCTTTGATCCACATCATAGCATTGGGATTCTCATGGGACCAGCAACCTTACGGATAGCCTATGACAGGAAAGCGAATCTTACAACACCATGGTTGTTGGATGAGTTTGAAAACAAGGCTGAAAAGGTCTATCCTGCATTGATTCGAGAAACCTCTCATTGGGGATGCAATTTCATGGTCCATGACAATGCCACCAAGACCCCCTATTTCTATTCTCGATGCAAAGGAACGGCAAATTGCCCAAATTACGATGAGAAGAAAAAATCTCACGATGAGAAGAAAAAATCTTACGATGAAAAGACAATGTACAGCTGATGACCATGTGGTATATCAAAGGGGCAACAGGGACGACAATATATGACATCCATTTTAATCAGCTCTGGAGCGACTATCGTTTTCGGAAAATCCATCGCACGACTGCGTTATTTTAAAATCAGCACTGTAATACAAGAGTGTCCTAAAACATGACTTGAGATGCTTCTTTATTTTCACCTTAAATTTTGGAATTGTTACGATTAAAATAGTGTACTGAAATATCGGTTGGATACGACGAGGGAATAGTTGTTGGTTTGGGCGACTGACCACCAGTCCCTGACTCTGATACAAGGCAAAGCAAAGGTTTAGCAACAGAGAGTGGGAATAATGAGAAAATCCAATCCATAGGCTTACCTAACGTGTTTGACATGTTGAATGTATACGACGGATACCGGGATGGTATGATAAGGAATGTTTATATGAAAATATAGTAGAAAAGGACTGCCTGCAAAAGTGGCCAGAAATCGACCTACAAATTTAGTTAACATTTTTGTCGTTCCGCGTGTCTCTCAGCTAATAATAAAAAATGAAAGCTTATACTTCCGACTCAATTGAGTCATAGTCGACTGTGACTCACTCAACTGACAAGCGTTTACGCCTTTTTGTTTTCATGGCACGCAATATATTATATACCCGCATGTTCATTTATAATGATACAATCGTCCAGCACCACCGCGCCAACATCACATCTTTACCGCCTGAGGAAAACATTGATTCCTCTAATATGCTTTCTTCTGATTGGTTTCATTATCAACTTTGGAGGCATTTATCACGACATTTCAGATGGGTATTTTGGAAATCCCATTCATGATGCAACAAACAAGGAATGGAAGAGTTTGGTGGCGAAGGAAAGAGACACTCGAAGTCTCATAGTCGATGAAGGAGAGAAAGGCAAATATAATATTGCTCCCAATAATTTTAAAGACTGGAAGATGACAACTGATGCAAATAATTGTGGAGATAGAGGACCAAATTTTACTGCATCGGATCGAGCAGAATGCGGCCCGTTGAGGAGTATGACGAATTCGATCCATGGACGAATGAAGCATACGACGACGACGATGAAGACGAAGATTACTGGTGCGGGGATGACTGGCGATAAACTACCATTACCAACCATTATCGACCACCAAACATTACAACCCATCCCAAGGCGACTGATTTTTACCCATCACACCCACTTGATCGATCGTAGATTTCCTCGACATCTCTACAAAAATGTTCAGAATACAATTCAAACATATGCTGATCTATGGGGCGTTGAAAACAAAAGTAATGTTGAAGTCATGTTCTTTGACGATCAGGATTGTGCTCGTGTCATTGAAGCATCGGAGCCGAAACTGGTTCCAATCTTTTGGGCGGAAAAGACTGGGGCCTACCGGGCAGATATCTGCCGGATAGCGGCACTTTACACATACGGAGGATACTACTTGGATGTGGATATTGAACCAATCCAAGCATTGGATCCACCACCTCAAGTCGACTTTATAACAGCCCAAGCTGGAAATCGAGCGTTCTTTCAAGCAGTCATGGCCTCGACACTGCGGCATCCACTTATGAAGCATACAATGGAAACCATGTTGGTGGATTGGTACATGATTCCAACGATTATGAAGGACCACGGCAAAACGGAATTCGAACCACAATGGTTCCGAAGCCAGACCTATACCGATTTGCGGTTGGAACATGTGGCACAGTATGGCTTCGATCTAAACCACACAATTGGAATTCTCATGGGACCTGTAACTTTACGGATAGCCTATGATAGAAATGTGAATCTTACAACACCATGGTTGCTGCAAGAGTTTGAAAACAAGGATGAAAAGTTATATCCAGCATTGATTCGAGAAACGTCCTATTGGGGATGCAATTTCATGGTCCATGACAATGCCACCAAGACCCCCTATTTCTATTCTCGATGCAAAGGAACACCAATGTGCGTGTTTTATAAAGAGAAGAAAACAGGCACTTGATAATCATGTGATATTAAAGGGGCGATAGGGACAACAAAATGACATCCATCTATCGGCTTTGGGGAGACTATCGTCTTGGGAAAATCCATTGCACGACTGTGTCATTAAATCAGCACAAGAGCATCTTGCTAGAGTAGTCCGAAATCATGACTTACGATGTAACTTATTTATTTTTTACTTTCACTTGGAGATGTTACTATTAGTAGTGTCACTGAAAATGGCCTCCCACTAAATGGATGATGGCGCCACTTTACACCTCGCAAACACTGGCATTCACCACCTGGAGCATATTCGATGCTGGAGTGAAAGAATGAAAGATGAAAACGGTTGATGAGGTCACAACAACGTCAAGACATAGTATTGGGTTTGTGAAACTCACATAGATTACAAAATGTAAGAGTTCGTGGTAGTGCGGGAATTTCGCCAATGAGTTCATTGTTTTGCAACTCAAGCTGCTCTAGTTCGGACAGGACAATTGGCGGCGAAGTCGTTCCTGACAAATCGTTCTTGTCCAAGCGTAGTTGTCGAAGGCTCGTCATACTAACGAATATTCCGCTGGGCAATGGACCAGTCAATTGATTCTCTCCTAGTAGTAGAAGGCAAAAGAACCAGATCATTCAGCACGATTCTCGCATGGATTGGAAGGATTGTACGACAACGTACCTGCATCGAAAACGCTCAGAAGATTCAATTGATGGATCTTCGTTGGAATCATCCCGCCTACACTATTGCCAGCTGGCTGAAACAAGGACGAAGTACCAGTGAAAAGAGGAGTGAGTTTGTTTTGTAACGAGGACTCACTCGGCGAGCCACACGACTTACCCAGGTGTAGTTCCCCAAATTGAGTTGCTTTCCCAATGCCAAACGGTATGGTCCCAGTGAAAAATTGGTTGTCAAGATTCAGATACTTGAGATTTGAAAGGAGGAAGATTTCCTGTGGAATGGTTCCTAGTAGATTATTGTTTGCTGTGAATTGGGTAGTAGATGGACGAGATCGAAACCGTACTCGTACCTAGGTCAAGAAAAGTCAGGCGGTGGTGGTTCTAGGTCTGAGAATACAGACGAGCCGTCCCCATCACTTGCAGCAGAATTATCCTTCTTGTCGTCCATTGTTGCGGTTTTTGTTCCTCTCTAGATGAGATGCAATGCACTAGGAGCGTCATCAGCTTGCTGATGTAAGATGATTTCATGTGATTGGAGAGAAAATAATATATACAGTGGTACAAAAGTGCGTGACTCGATGGATTCCCAAGACTCGCTCCAGGATTCATTGATTGATTGATTCGTTCGACCAAGGCCTTTTTGCCACCATACAAACACGAACTCAAATAATATCTCCGACACAAAAACAAGAGTGGAAACACGCACAATAACATAAAATTGAAAAGATGACCGCTTCATCTTCCTCATCGATAACGAAATATGGCAAGGTACTTCCTATAGCTGGACTTTTATGCTTTGTTGGAGCCATGACGCTGGATTATATCCACAAAGGGAGTCTTTCTCTTCCTCAAGGGGCTGATCTGAATGGACGAAAGAAAGAGGACGGTTCCTCGTCATCCTATTCTTCCATCCAAGAAAAGGCCTCTCGCCCGCTCGAGCACGATTCCTTATTTGACTATGAAGGAACCAATATTGCAACACTAGAAAACAGCGTGGAAGCAATCACAGCACGATTACAGCCCCGGCGTTTACAGCTGGAGGAAAACAAAGCCATCTCCCATCAAATTCTACATCTCCACAATATGAAGACAGGAGGAACTTCCATTGACAAACGATTGAATTGCGCCATCAAGCGTATGAGCGCTGACTACAATGTGACGATACCTCGGTACAGTACGTTTGAAACAATATTGGGATCACAAAAAAGAACGTTATCATCCTCCGGATATTCTCATTGATTTCACCTTCCTTTTCTTGATCCATTTAAATCATCCTGTGACGCCGATCCCATAACTAATTGTCCCACTTCCATTTCCACGGAACTGCCTTCTATTTCTCGAATTGTATTCACTACTGCTACTGCTACTGCTACGAATGTCACTTCTATTAGATATTCACGAATGCTGGCGGAGGGTGTATCGAGAATGCATGGCGAATTCCACAAACCCATGTCGACAAGAAATAAAAGATGCCGCTGTGATGAGTTTCTGTGGACCTTTGCAAAACGTGGAAATGTTGGGCTGGGCTGGTCAAGATAGACCAGAAGTCGCCGTGGTTACCATGCTACGGCATCCCGTGGAACGAGGTACGCCATTTAAAATCTGAAACTGACTGACTGACTCGGTCAATTCAACGAATTTCCTGCCTGTAATGAATGAATGAATCGCAGAGCTATTGCTAACGCCCATCCGCCTGTCTTTCCAATTAACATTGTAGTTTGGAGTCAATACAAGTACCAGCTATCCAATTGTTATCGATGTAAAAACTTGACTTTTGTGTACGAGCTATTTGATAGTGGTGACTGGCCCGGATACGATAACCTGTGCATGTCTCATCTAAAGGACAAACAGGTCCGAAACCTCGTTTCCAGAGACTTGCCAGCAGATGCCACAGACGAGGAGCGAGTCAACGATGCTATTGCCAATATGAAATCAAAGTTCACGTTGGTAGGGATTACCGAACAAATGGAAGCCACGGAAGCTCTTTTGGTGAATGCCTTTCCGTGGCTGGATGGACAGTTGGAACGCAGCAATGCTAGTTGTACCATGCAGCACACCAATAAGTCACCCAGGAATAATGGATGCATCATAGATAGGGCAACAAAGCAAATGATGCACATGCCTGTATTACAGCATCCAGATAATGAAACCCGAAGGGTGATTGAAGAGCACAATCAATTAGACATGAAGCTCTACGAAGCGGCACTTCAGCATTTCGAGGTGCTAAAGCAAGCGATTGGGTATAAGGGATAAATAAAAACAACGATTATAGAATTACATCAAAACATGATTCGCAGTGTGTTGTATAATAATGCTTCTACTATAAGGTATACAGTAAATTGAGGGTGCAATTTTAATTGTTGGTGTCGGCTCGCATTCGAACGTCAGTCGGGCTTTGTCATGCTTCGGCTATTTCTTGGTGTTCAGATTTCTACCATTCGTAGTGTTGCTCTCGATCCAATAGTCCCTTTTTTTCAGTTCTGGATGCTGTTGCTTATCTTTTCCGAGGGAAGATGGCAATCACCTGTCACCTTCAATCTGAATTGAGAATCTTTGCCTCGCAGGTATTTTTGGGAAAGGTATCGGAAAAGCCTCTATTGTCAAATCCAGTGATATCTACAGCTGTATATTCATATCCATTCGTGTAGTTTCCAATGCCAGAACGAAAGGTTGTTCCATTTACATTTCCTTCCCCATAGCAAAATACAACTTCCTGTTGCGAGATTTTTACTTGTGCATTGATGCGAAACCGGCTTGTATCGTCGTACCCAAAAATACTGACATCTTCCCAAGACAACGTCAGGGTAGTAATAAGATCCATGGGTCGTTGCCTTGCTTTCAAGGGGCTGCTGCTGTGGTCGGCATGGTCATCAAGGTTCGTCCTAGGTGACTCTTTACCCCACAATGCATAGACGTTTCCATTCACATTCGGTGCCAAGTCAATAGACCCCATCAGATCAATCATTCCACAGACTCCGTGCAAATAGCAATTCAATGTGACGATTGCGTTACTATCAATGATCACTTCGTTGATCCAAGCGGAAGCATCCCAATCCAAACGGTCGTCTGAGCTGGGATAAATGGCAGCGGAGCAGTCGTCACACAATGATACTTCTACGACACGGAATGCTCCTGGCGTGGAGGCAATCGACTCATACAGGTAACTTGGTTCTTCAACACCAAATGTAGGTGCAAATGTGGGAGTTGGACTGTCCACTGGTGTAGGACGTTCCGTCAAGCCTTCATCTTCACCAATGGTGGCCACTCGTTTGGTATTGTTGTTCTCGTCATTGCTTTCCATCAGCATTCCAATAATGACCCCCTGCAGAATAAAGACAATGGATAGACAGAAGCAAACATATATCATGACTTTGGATCTGGTACTCATCCCACTTGATGGTGGTGGTACAGAATTATGTTGGGAGTCACTGACACTGGGCTCTTGCTTTGGTTCGTTATTAGACGAGGCAGTGGGCCTCTTAGACTCAGGAGATTTGAGACCTTTCGTAGATGGTCGCCCCGTGTGAACCAACGGCGAGGAATCGTCTGCTTTTTTTGAGTCTTCATTCGTATCTTGTTCATTGTTCTTTTCAATGTCGGCGTTGCTTGGTAAATTTTGCTGGGCTTCAGCTTTGTGGTTTCCTTCCTTGGTTTCCTCCTTATTTTCATCATGAACGCTGTCATTCTGGTCGCTGTCTTCCGTTGACATTTGTGGATCAAGGACAGATCCTGCCATGGTGATGCTTTTGGGTCGATTCTTCATGGTTCAACGAGAATGATAGGTATAGCACAGGAATTCAAAGGACCGCAATTGACAATGCGATGCGATGATGATGGTAATGGTACGATTAGATTCATTTGGGACTAAAGTATTCCCCAAAACTCCTACAATTATTACCTTCAACCTTGCCATGATATATTATCAAATTTCAGCAACGTCCCATTGTAACAAAATCGGATTGTATTTCATGAATAAACATGAGCACTTTCTGTGCTGAATAATTTACAATTATGATATTTACACCCAGACTCTCACTCACAAGACATCTTTTACAAACATTTCATCACCCTTCTTTTCTTCGTCCCCTTGAGCCGCATTTGTTGCTCTCGTCGTATTGTATGTATTTCCGCTTCACCATTTTTCTAAAAGGACATTGCTCCATCTCTTTCTTTTTCAGACTGAAGCAGTTGCTGTAGCATCGGTTCGATTCTTCATCTCTTGAAGCTTGGATTGCAGCAGTTGCGCACTGGATTCTGGTAATCCATTGCAATCCAAAAGCGGCGCCAACTCGTCAACCCACCCCAAGGCTTCCATTAGGTCCAGCATGGAAGAATCAATGTCACCCTCGGCGAAATAATCCCTATTCGCCAGGCTGTCAAAATGCATTCCCAAATTGAATCCAACTGGATCTCTGTTTACCAACATTCGAAGACAGGTTTCCGGTACTCTGTAAACTAACGAGTTGGCTGGTGCTACCTTGAGAGAAGTACCAATGACAATCAGTAGATCGGCGTCTTCCACATCCTTTGGAACCAACTCGAAAAACTTCGGAGGAAGGCTTGATCGGAACAGAACGATAGAGGGCTTCACTGTATTGTACCCGCATATCCGACAGGCAATGTGCGAACTTTCTTGTGGAGCAGTCGGGTCAGATTTTGTAATATCCTTAATTTTGGTGCGGACATCTTCACAGAACCGTTCAAAGTTCGCTTCGTTATGACACATGCCACAGTCTGCCTGATCCATGGTGCCGTGGACTGGTACCACCATATCTCTTGGTAATTTGGTGCACTGATCTTCAAGTCCGTCAATGTTTTGGGTATACAGTCGCGCTAGTTTTCCAGTCTTGGCGTGCAAGAGCTCCACAAACCGGTGGGCAAGTGTGGCCTTCCATAGTTGGTCCCTTGTTCCCAACACGAACTGGCGGTTAACTTCCAGGCATGGGAATTGGTTTTGCAGGAATAAATGATTGTCCAAGGCAATGGATGGATCCACACGTATTAAATCACGTTCGGCCTGAGTCGCAGTGAGACGATCCGCATCCATGGTAGCGTAAAGGCCATTGGCCGAGCGAAAATCAGGAATCCCAGAGACAACGGACATGCCAGCGCCTGTGAGAATGACAATCTTTTGACAGGCATCCGATTTGATGAATTTGGCCACATCGGTAAGAGATTTTGGCAATTCACCAAATGGATATTGAATGACAGAAGACAAATCATCGTCAAAAGAATCGTCCAAGGTAATTGGGAAAGACCTGATTTTGGCCTCTCGATCAAAGGAAGAATCATCATCTTCCTGGTCGTTATCTATGGAATCGTGGACCGAATCGGATGTGGAGACTAAGGAATCATTCGAAGAGCACATGCTGCTCACGGAGCGCTGTTTCTTGATCGGCCGAATATCCGTCTCGAAATCAGCGTGAGCCGGAGCATTTTTTCGAATGATACTCTTCTTTGATGATTCATATTGATCGTTAAGAACATCAGAGGTGATACTTGACTCATCGTTGGCGACATTGTCATGATCACCGCTGCTAGGATGCGGCGGCTGAGGACATGTACTCTGTTCGCCGCTCAAGGGAGACTTAGGATCAGAATTGGAAGGAGCTACTGCGCCTGTGGCAATAATACCGTTTCGGCCAGCTTGGGCATTCCTGGATTCAGAATCTTCTCTGTGGATCAGCGATGGTACCGTTGTACTCATTGGATTCGTGTCGGAAGCTGGAGACGCCGATGCTGAAACAGAAATTTCAAACGGCGGAGAATAACTATTGGTAGTAGTCGTAGAAGTTTGATGTGTAGTGTGAATAAGCTGTGGCTTCTGTGGGCCTTCCAGGATTGGATGTCCCAAGGATGTTGGTTTCCTTGAAATGTCAGCGAGCGGAAAGCCGCCGACTGCCGCGTGTCCTTGCTGGTTCATCCTGAAGCGTACGTCGAAGATGAGATGTGATAGACTGAATGAATGAATTCACCTGATAATGGCACTAGAGATTGTTTCTGTCAGCTGTCTTGGCTCAATGCAACCCAAACTTCGAGCTTTGGAGTCTTGGTGTCTGAAATACGTTCAGAAGGTGCTTGCGCTAATGCTCTTGCTGCAAGTAATACAAGTAGTATTAGGTCAGAAGTTGGATAACAGGTGACAATGGAATACGCACCTGATACACTTCGGCAATTCCCTTCTGATCTAATATATGTATTCGGTACTGTTCATCGTTCAAATTCAACGTAGAATGACCGAGGGCCGACGTAAGCTTATTCCCACGAAATAAGTCCGAGGACGAACTGCTTCGACTCCATTGACCGTACTGAAAGGAAAAGGAAAAGATCTTAGCCTTATCATTTTACAACACTTGTGAACTATGAAATGGGTAAAAACAGCAACAATATGGTAGTTTCATATGTTGAAATTAAAAAAATGCCTTCTAGGTTTCGTTGGTACAAAAATGAGCCAATATGATTATTCAATGCAAAAAAACACGTCGAAAAGCCACAAGCATGCCCCCAAATAGCTATGTTAATTCAGAGATCTTGAGCAAAGACTAGTTCATAGCTCACTTTCTAATACTAGAGGAGGGTTTGACTTTCACAACGTGCTCAAACATGTCTTGGTACCCTCCAACTCTCCCAGTTCACGATCCATTTTAGTCAATTTGCGACATGATGGGTGTCCGTAGGCTACTCTTGATGCGAATGTGCGACCAAAAGTTGTTTGTTTCGCATAAATATTTCTTCTGATGTGGGACATCGGACATTTAGAAAAGCCCCACTAATCTGAGTGACTTTTTCAAAAGAAAACAGAAGAATATATTACAAAAATTGCCCTAAATTTCGTAATAAATATTATCTTGAGCTAAAAAAAAATGGGTGAAGCGGGACCTCCCATATACCTTTTGGTGGGCGAAAACAAAATGGAAATGGTGAAGCTGATTTGAGATTCAGGAAGTATCATTTTTTATGATTGCTGAACGCAATACGGCCAACGTGGGACCTTATATGAAATCTCATGATGGACCAGTCGCACAAGCGATGATTTTCATTCATTCCCTTCATGTGTCAAATATAAGGTATTACGGAACCGAACCGCTGTGCCTACCAGGCTCCTACTTTAATGTGACTAGTCCAATCTAAGTATCTAATACACGTTCCAACAGATGTGTTCCGGCGTTTGCAATATTGGTTTCAAGACTAGAGCCTTTTCGGCGCCAATCCTGTCCTTGATTGAAGCCTCACAAACATGACACTACTGCAAGGCGTGTCCATGGACGTATCGTGAACATAATATCTTTTGCGTAGCAAGACAAAACCAATTCTCGTCCACCAGTAGCTGGACAGTGCTCCTCCTTGTCGTAGTTGCTATCTTCTTCCTCCGTTGCTCCACCAACTTCCGATTTGAGTCCCAGGCAGTGGAGTCAACAAAAAGGAAAAAAATAGTATCAGCATCAGTCAATGCTACTGGTAGACAATCTGGATTATCACAATATGAAGGTGTTGTGACATCGCATAGATAGTTTCACATAGAGATTTGCACACAACTTATAAATTCCGCATGATTCGTCATCGCACTTGTTCTTTCTCGTTTTTTCTGGTACCAGTTTTCTTGTCACTCGCTACTCAATATTACACTCACATAGTTTCTGAGATGATCCAGGAAGAATGTTGTCATATAAACACAGGAGTTCAAGTCGCATGATGTGTCTGGAAACATTAGTTTTCATAGTCTTCCTGCATGCAACTTCAAAAAGCGGCTTGCGCTGCTGCTTGGATTGATAATGAAACTGTCAACAGAATTTTTGAAACGCTGAGTTCAATCACATTCCACCATTAGAAGCTTGGTCACCTTTGAGATATCATGATTTGCCATGTAATATTCTAGTGCAGTGATGTCGTCATCTATGTGGCTGATCAGTTTGTGGAAAATTTCTTTCAGTGCCATCAATCTTCGTTCAAAGTTTACACATAAATAATTGGCGTATTCTGGATGCATTGCGTAAATATCTTTGAGCGGTATCATGGGCTAGTTGTTGTCATCAAATTGTAGAACACTCTTCTCAATGTCATGAAACAAGAGAACTCCATATGGCGCTTGAGTGGCGCCATTTTATCTTTGGTTCTGGCAAGACCATCATTCCGTTACCAAGGCAAACGTGGTCCAACGATGGTCGGCTTCGACCATGACGTAGTATCCATCGGTTTTGACACCATGGTGTTCAAACAAGCATCACTTAGTTCTTAATATATTCGTCGCACAATGACCACAGAATTTTCAATTAGGTCTTGGTTGTCTATCATTTGCCGTCAGTACCTACCGTATAGGCTTTCTTGGCAGCGGATGGCTCTGCTCTTCTTCTAAGCGTTGTTGAAAGGCAATGCATGTTCCCCAAGAATCTTCCCAATCGTGAAAGCGCTGTGTCAAATTACCACAGGATGCCTGAGAGTTCTCCAATTGCTTGCGTACTTGAACGGCTGCTGTTGCAACGTCGAGAAAAGGCCCCTCTTTATGTTCATATTGATAGATGCCAAATTTGCCGCGAAAAAAGTCGACGCCCATGTATTGTTCATAATTTTGGTGCAACAACAGGCTCGCCTTTTCAAGTTCTAAGCCTCTTGGATAATCGCGGTGCAAGTCATTGACAAAATTGAAAAAGAGGGGAACGATTCCAGCTGCCCCAAAGCATCTGTGTACTAGGCTGAATTGCATCATTTGCGACATCCACCAGGAATCGTCTTTTTTCATGAATACATAAGGCATCAGCATCTTGATATATCTTCTATCAAAGGCATTGATAATGGCATCCACTTCTGCGGTAATAATGATTCCTTTTTGATTTTCTTCGCTGAACCTCTCAGCATCTCGCAAGGCATAGAATACAGCTTGAGAGGATAGCATTTGCGTGTCCAAAAAGTCAAAATAAAGTGTCCAGCAGACAGTCCCATTCAAGTTGTTGGTCGTGGTGGCCATATCGTCAGGTATGTGGCATTCAAGCTCTACATCATCATCCGAAAAGATCCAATATCTAAACTCTTGCTCTCTAATCTGCTCTTCGCAGTGCGCATACTTGACCAGTTCATTTCTTCCTTCCGTCCAAGTGGTATCGGGGATAAACAGGGTGCGGCAAAAGGACGACCATTGGCCATTTTCCAAGACATCGCATTCGGGATCTTTAGCCGGTTTATCAAAGGATGCATAGACCAATAAAACACTTTTTTCCACGCCTGCATCGCGGAGTCGTTGTTTCCAGTGACCCAACATTCGGGCGGGACCTTGCACAAGGACAACTAGGTGTGAAATGGAATATTGGTCGGCATTTGTTCGAGCAGATGTGATGACGGTTTCTTCAAGTGGCTGTGGTGGTGCTGTTTGGGGCGTAAGAGCCTCTGCCTGTCTCTGCGGAGCTACAGTTGCAGCTGTCTGCACATCGCCTCCTCCTCCCATACCAAGCGACAGGCCCACTCCTTGTCTTTTTTCTTGCTGGGCATTCGTTTTCTTTCTCTTCTCCCATGAAAACAGTATTTTCCTGTCACCTTGGAGCACAAAATACAGCATAGCCAATAACAGCAGGTGAAGAGAAGATGGTAGGTTCTTCATTTTTTGCTTCCTGCTTTCTTTCTGTATCTAGTTTTCAAAGTGACACTGAAAGGATAGGTTGACAATCGAGTATGTACGGTAGAAGATTGATTACCTGGACCCACCGCAAGTTTTCTCAAACGCGCGATTTGCACGCGTTGAATTTGCACATACCCCTGTGAGGGGGTTAGTCTTTTGGTGCCATTGCTTTGAAACCCTCAAATCGATCGTGAACCCGAAAACAAACAACAGAAAAAATTCGTTGGGGTTTTTTGGTCGCGTGCCGATCAGGATATCCTCAAATCGGGGGTAATAAACGGGGGTGAAAAGTGGAACAAACCCTATTGAAAACGAAACGATCTACGGTAGTATCGTACTACCGGTATAGTATAGCTACCATGCTGCAGTTTGAATGAAATCTGATCTCTACAGTAGTCTTACTTATTGAAGATGCACTATTTTTCTATCATAGCGCCTTATGGCTTATAAATATACCAGGAAGGGTTCCGATCCCTTCGCAGCACCATGCCAAAATCAAAACCATCCTTGGTTAAACTTTCTTGCGTAAAGTCTTCGATTGTGTGTCGTACAGTCAAAAATGGATTCCCCGATTCCTGAACCATCCAGTCTTGTACTGCCCTGACAACTCCATTTTGGTTGGATGACCGTCCAGTTTTGAATACTGCTGATTCCACACCCCATCCGGTGTAGTCTTGGCATTGAGGAATTAGTTTGCACCCATTGCAAGACTGACCTGGCTCCCCGTAGTTGCAGTAGTCATGTCCACTGATGATCCCACCGGATCTAACCTTCTTCCACCAAAGAGGAAGCTCGGCTCTTACAGCATCGTAGGTATGAGATGCGTCGAGGTAGACAAAGTCAAAGTAGCCATCGGGGTACTGGTCCAGTAATGCAGGATTGGTTGAAATAGTCTTCTGGAGGTTCACCGTACAGTTCTCCAAATAGCCTTGTCCAGCCCACTTGCTTTGCTTGCCAGCCAGACCTAAGCGTCTATTCAAGTACTTGGTAGGGTTTGGTTCCACCAGAACCCAAGTCCATTGGTCGTTCATCAGCTTTGAATTCTGCTGCATGAAGACCTCGGAGAAGCGCCCATCTTGTACCCCAATTTCAATTCCTCGTCGAAATCCTCCATAAGCAAAGAGATGGGAGAAATAGTTTCGTTGTGGGTGAGCAGTCATGTAAGTCACGATTTCTGTTTCACTCCAATTGCCGTTCTTTTGTTTGATGATTCTTTCAAAATCTTCTGCTCCAGTAGACATCCCGGCACCATTTTCTCTGAATGATTTTGTGGTCATTGGCATGTCGTCCTCTTGCAATGATCGTTCGATCATATCTCCCACAAAATCACTCAAACAGTACGCAGCAAGGAGAATCAAAGTGAAAAATACCTTTATAGGAGCACTGACGACGTCTCTGTTCGGGCTATTGCTCCGACTACGGATGTTTGGGCGAGACTGTCCTAGCGATGGCATGGATACAATATGAATCGAGCGAGGCAATTACTGTTGAAGGTCACAACACGGTTTCGACTCTGATTTGTGGTTTGTGGAATTAGGTATGGCCAATGCCCACCTCGCAAGGTTTCGAACGATTGGCCCGACTGGCGCGTGGATACCGAAATAATATGATTTCCTGCTACTTACGGCATTGACACTTTTTGTTGTACAAATACGTCACGGCATCTAACAAATAAAATATGATACGCGCACGGTAAAGCATTTTGAGGAAAAAAAACACGATTGATTTTATGTCTTGATCCATGAAGACGACCAATTCAGATTGCTGAAGTTGAAATATAATGCTTAGCCAATCGAGTTATTGTATAATGTTGGTCAGCGTTGTAAACTAGAAGCTTTCTCCATGCCAGGGTCCTGGAAGGACCCGACATTGGATCCTCAAACGCGAAGATATGAGTCCCCTTCCAGAGTTCCTTTGGCTTCAGACCTGCCGATCATTTTTCGTACTCTACCTCCGACACTTCCACAAGCAAGCACTTTGTGCCGATAATTTGATGATTAAAAACAGAAATTCAATAATTCAAGAAACAAAGTCAATCATGTTTTAGCTCCTGTAGTATTGGCGCCTGCTTCCTTTCCTCCTCCTCCTCCAAACTTGATGTCTTCAAGTGCTTGCAATATTGGTTTCAAGACTAAAGCCTTTTCGGGGCCACTCTTGTCCTTGATGTAAGCCTCACAAACATGACACCACACAGAGAGATCGGCCAAACTGACAGCGATACAGTTCGCCGTATCCTTCCAATGCTGCAAGGCATGTCCATTAACGTATCGTGAACATAATATCTTTTGCGTAGCGAGGCAAAACCAATTCTCTCCCAATGGACAGTGCTCCTCCTTGACGTCGTTGCTGCCTTCTTCCTCTGTTGCTACAACAACTTCGGACTTGAGTCCACCCGTTGGCTTCTTTTGATTTGGTGGCATGCAGCAGGGTATTTCCAACATGGCAAGATTGGAATTAGCAAAGTAGTCGGAGACATCCTTGGCCGTAACCTTTACGTGTTCAGCAATGTGCGGACACGAATCAATGGGCGCAATGGTACCACCTCCATCTTTTGCCAGTTGCTGATCCAAAATAAAATTGTAGCAAGCTGTGACATCCGGTCCCACTTCGTTGACAGCGTGATTGCGGCAACATCATAGGGGAACCCAAAGATCGTCGTCAGACTTTCGACTGCTTGCCAACACTGGGCAATGGTGGCGTCATCTGTAGAGGAGCTAGCGGCGGCAGATGTTGACGCTGTCGAGTTGGCTGGCGGGTCGTCCGAGTTGGATGAAGATTCCATTGTTGTAGGAGGGAACGGCACTGTTGTGATGATGATGTATCAAATCATGGAATATTGGATATTATGCGGCTGCATATATACCGTACCGTATACGAGTATATGATCAAACCTCATCAGGCAGACCTGTCCTCCGTCCGATCTAATAGGCCCAAACAATAAACATGCATGCATCACCAAAAATTCTCCGTCACCGCACCATTCCATACTTACCTGTCACAACAGCACTCCCAACTTGACTACGTCCTTTCCTCTCATCATTTCTATCATCACAATCCATCACCGTCCATCACAGTTCACCTCTTGATAAAAGCTTAAGTTGTTTCTCTAGAAGATACCATAAATGACGGTGCCTAACTTCAACAGGAGCAACTCATTCCTTCAGCAAACCACGACCTTGAATATACTACTTATAATTGTATCCGCCTTGCTACTCTTGGATTTCTTGACGAGATTGGTCGGAAATATCAACAATCAATCCAGCGGCGATGGCTCTGCTATCTCTTCGGCAGCATCAGCGCTATCGACATCTTCAGATGCAAATGGTGATGGCCCAATCATGTGGAGTCCAGAACAAATTGTGTCGTATATGACGGCGTATCCACAGCGCAGTTACTTTTCTCATTTTTTTGCCTATGGAGGCTTTCGCCGAGGAATTGAAATTGGGGTGCAAGATGGTCGGTACAGTGAAGTGTTGCTGGATCAGAATGCCCGCCTTTTGAAGGATCATTGGTCACTGGTTTTGGTCGACCCCCATCCGACGAAATATTTGAAGGAGCGTCTCGGCATGGACGGCAAACCAGGTGTTTGGAAGCAGGAAGGTTATCTAAAAAATGTGGATGTCACATTTGAACGAACCACGGCGATGGATCCAGAACTGATAGCAAAGTATCCGGATGGGTATTTTGATTTTGTCTATCTGGATGGTCTGCATGAACACCATGAAGTAAGAGCCGAGATACCGATATGGTGGCACAAGGTGCGCTCGGGAGGCGTTCTGGCAGGCCATGACTATTGTAATTATGGAGAGGAAGGACTGTCGTGCAATGGATGCAAGGAAATTCCAGAATGTAGGCCCTATACGTTGTATGGAGTAGATTCAGCTGGACCAAAGGAAGGGCGGTCTTCGAACCAAAATGGTGTAGTCATGGCCGTGCAAGAATGGATGGTAGAAGAATCTGGTGATCCCACTTTGACAGTGCATCACACGCAAGAAGACTATACACGAAAAAGTCTGGCCAAGGATGGCTTTGAGTTTTATCAGGTGATTGCAAGGGATCGCAATCCATCATGGTTCATTGTCAAGCCATGAGGTCACATCTTGAACTGACGAGGTAACGTGTATACTAATTTTGTATGGTACTCTAATTTCCAAGGATTGAAGAGAACCTTGGTCTTGCTATTCACAGCCCCGTGGCAGAATTTGCCATTCGTGACAGCTTGTCCGAAAATAGTTCACAATAGGTTTCCGAGTGATTAGAGCGTCTTTTTCGTGTCCAATCAGAAGAGATCGTGAAAAAACGACTAGGCAATTGGTCGAGTCCGTTGCGATGCCAACGGTGGATGGAAAGGGTGGGAATTCAAAAATGTTCGCATTGGAGTATCCAAGTCGGGTCGTACAGAACTACCGGTATAGCATCGAGAAAGCTTCCAGTTTCCAATCAAAGCTGACCAACATTATACAAGAACTAGATTGCTTTCTTTGCAAGACAAAGATAGAAGTCTCTCAGCATCTCAGCATTGCATTTCAACTTACAGTAATCTGAAGTGGTCGTCTTAGAAAACATTCAATCAATCGTGCTTTTTTCTAAAAATGATTTTGACCATATAAAATAGTCGGATGCCCTGACGTATTTTCCACAAGCAAAAGTGTCAAGGCTATAAGTAGCACGAAATTTCAAGAAATCGGTTTCTACGCGCCAGTCGGGCCAATCGTTCGAAACCTTCCGAGTTGGGCATTGGGGTCCTCGTCCTCATCTCACTCCACCACCACAAAACCAGAGTCGAAACTGTGTTGTGACCTTCCATAGTCATAACCTCTCTCGATTCATATTGTATCCATGCCATCGCCGAGACAGTCTCGCCAAAAGAGTCCTATTCGGAGCAATGGCCCGAACAGAGAAATCTTAAGTGCTATTGTAAAGGTATTTTTCACTTTGATTTCTGCCTACTGTTTGAGTGATTTTGTGGGAGAGATGATCGGAAGATCATTGCAAGAGGATGAAATGCCAATGACCACAAAATCATTCAGAGAAAATGGTGCCGGGATGTCTACTGGAGCAGAAGATTTTGAAAGAATCATCAAACAAAAGAACGGCAATTGGAGTGAAACAGAAATCGTGACTTACATGACTGCTCACCCACAACGAAACTATTTCTCCCATCTCTTTGCTTATGGAGGATTTCGACGAGGAATTGAAATTGGGGTACAAGATGGGCGCTTCTCCGAGGTCTTCATGCAGCAGAATTCAAAGCTGATGAACGACCAATGGACTTGGGTTCTGGTGGAACCAAACCCTACCAAGTACTTGAATAGACGCTTAGGTCTGGCTGGCAAGCAAAGCAAGTGGGCTGGACAAGGCTATTTGGAGAACTGTACGGTGAACCTCCAGAAGACTATTTCAACCAATCCTGCATTACTGGACCAATACCCCGATGGCTATTTCGACTTTGTCTACCTTGACGCATCTCATACCTATGATGCTGTAAGAGCCGAGCTTCCTCTTTGGTGGAAGAAGGTTAGATCCGGTGGGATCATCAGTGGACATGATTACTGTAACTACGGGGAGCCAGGTCAGTCTTGCAATGGGTGCAAACTTATTCCTCAATGCCAAGACTACACCGGATGGGGTGTGGAATCAGCAGTATTCAAAACTGGGCGGTCATCCAACCAAAATGGAGTTGTGAGGGCAGTACAAGACTGGATGGTTCAGGAATTGGGGAATCCATTTTTGACTGTACGACACACAATCGAAGACTTTACGCAAGAAAGTTTAACCAAGGATGGTTTTGATTTTGGTATGGTACTGCGAAGGGATCGGAACCCTTCCTGGTATATTTATAAGCCATAAGACGCTAAGCTATAAGATTAATATAAAATAGAAGAATTGTCAAAGTGCAGCACGATAGCTACTGTAGTATTTCATTTCCAACCTCCTGCTCAGTAAGATTGGTTAATCCGCTCCCCTGACCTGGTGATTCTTACAGGATTAGATGATGATTGATTCGATGATTCAGATTGTCCGCTGCTTTTGTCTTGCACCTGCTGATGTTGGTGTTGTCTGTTGCCTTGTTCTGACTCCCTAACCTGTGATGTCCTAAAACATGTCACTCGTGTCCGTGTCGATTCGATGATTCGACTTATAAACTGCTTGGTTATCCTCCTGATCCTTTTGCTGGCTTTCGGAATCCAGCACCAGCATCGACATCCCATATCACTCTACGAAAAGATTTCAAGCTTGATTCGCCATTCTCTCTCGAAGTCTCTTGCTCTCGCAGTGCGATATATCTCTGACGGACATACACTAGTAGGTTCCAAAAACCCATTAGTGGAATGAATGTAGCACGAAGCATCATATAGGGATAGAGTGCTGGCTCCAATTCTGGCCCACCTCCGTTTGCAGTGTTATTTCGTTTTGTAGTCAATACCACTGTCCATATGTAGGTCACAAGAAAGACAAGGCAATACAACAACGATTGTACTCCCACTCGTTGCACCCTTTTAAGTTGATCTGGCGACGCTGTGACTTGTTTTATAACATAGTCATTGGTCAGAGTGGTGGTGGTGGTGGTGGCTACCCTGGTAGCAGCTTGCGCATTTGCAGCTGTCACAGATTTGTGCTTTGATGAAGATAGCGATAGCCGGAGATTCTTCAAGTTCGTCGTCCATCTTTCCTTACTCTTTTTGATACCTTCATAAATAGTTCCCCGAACGTGACAGAAGATGAGAAGATTGAAGGCTACCACCACAACCGTACACAGCAGAAACGGAGTGCCTCCAAAGACCGACCCAACCGCGTGGATGCAATCAGCATCGCACTTATCCGTAACTCGGAGCCAGCAACCAGCACCGGCCGAAACTTCGCCGTACATTCCGAGTGCCAAACCAATCGTAGCGGTCGCTGTGGAAAAAATGCAAATGCTCACGTGCATGTATGGCTCAATCCTTCGTCCAAAGACAGGATCTTTCATTCCAAATTTGACAACCATTAGAAAGTAAAATGATAGGGCTGCATAGTAAAAAAAAGAAATGGTCGAAAATGAAAAGCCCCAGCCCAGATAAGAGCAGGTAGCATCGTTTCCGATTGCATACAACCTTCGACTTGTGTCTCTTGGAACGAAGAAGCATTGCAGCGCTGCTGTGACTGAGGTAAAGATATCCGTTATACTGAGGGCGAGCAAGATTCTTCGCATGGGAGACTTGAAGCCACGTTTGTAGAGCAGTCGAATCAGGAGACATGATGCCCAAATACTGATGAGGGTTGGGACAATAGGGACAAAAGCAAGAGCAGTCTCTTGTGTATCGGAAAGATAGGATACATTTGAAGCACTGTCCGTGTTGACATCATTTGTTTGGGTTTGGTCACCTTCCATGATGATGATGACTTCTAAACAAGTTTGTGTTGTCAGTACATGATGGCGTTGTTGGGTGGTCGTATTGATGTCTGGAGGTGGCAGTATATGACCTTTGGCAGAACGACCAATATGTAAATCATGTCTGGTGCTTAAGTGTTTTTATCACTTGGCTTAAGTGAAGCTGCTCTGCGACAGCTGAATTCAAGGAAGGCGAAAAACTGCACAGGACTTCACCTTGAGATTATTAACAAAACATCATACTTTGCTGATAAGATCTTCATGGAGCAGAGTATTGCAACCTGCAATGAATGACCGATTGACTCGGGGGTATCTGCTGATACCAATCCTACGAAACACCTGAATAGAAGCTTCGTTTGGAACTGGCAATGAAATGGAGGGAAAGCTCCTGCTTGTGGGCAAGAGGCAGCAGATCTACAAGAACTTCAATGAGGAAGGCACAGCCAGTCTTGGAATGGATACATAGTACGTCATTCCTCAGTATCGAGATTGTGAAGAACAGGGTGTAGTGTCTGTAGAGCACAAATCGGGACGGTCGTCCAACCAAATTCGGAGTTGTCAAGAAGCCATTACAGTACTTTACGAGGAGACTGCATGATAATTCGTCTGGTGGAATCGTCAGTGGATCCTGATCGACTGATTTGGCTTTTGACAATCGATCGAAGACTTCGTGTGAAAGTTTACCCAAGAATTGGTTTGATCCTATTTGGTAAATCTGCGTTCAGCATTCCGGGCTTGGGCGTAAACGATGAGGACTACTCCGATTCCAATACAAAAGAAGTGACAGCACTCACTATCATCCCAACCCAATGAATCGGTATCCCGTTGGACAGAGATCGCCTCCACGCAGCTCCAATACTAATCGATTGAACTGTTCAGTGCTGCAATGTCCAGTGCATCCTTTGGCATAGTCTAGGTATCAGGCGTAAGCTGGATTCCTATGACAGCATCATAAAATATTTTCAATTTAGTGGGTGTTTTTTAACGCCAAGATAACGGATAGAACCGTGCTGTAAGCACTTTTGAATTGCTACCTATGCGTTTCTGCTGCATCAAATTGAAAATGTGTGATGATTATTATTGCGTCATTAATTATTCTGCTGCCCTTTTAACGATTTCCGTTCGTATCATCAGCTAAAAGTAATTGTTGGATAAAAGAGACAAGAAGTTCTGTGACAAGGGAGGCCGTCTCAACTTGAGGCATCTTCTTCTTGCGACAAGTTCAATTTGATGGGAAATACAATGCCCAATGACAGCATTCCCGAAGATCAAATCTGTTTTCAGAGGAATCCAAGTCATTCACCTCAAGCGAAAGACTCAAGGAGCGGCATGCAGAACAATCGAGGAGATGCTTGTTCGCCAAGCGATAGCACTGTATCACTCCAAGTCGAATCTCCAGAAGCGAACAGCTGTTCGAAAGCACAGCAGGATGACATCCACAGCCAATCTTGGGGAGACAGTACTGTATCAATAGGAGATAAATCATCTGATAGAAAAATGCCTGCTCAATCCGCGAGATCAAAACACAAAGTGAACGCTAAAACATTGCAAGAGATTGCTTTCTATTCTTCGGAAGATGAGATTGCAGATCCAGGTGACGTTGGTCAAGGCAAGGCTATTGGTGGTGTCAAACGCAAGCGAAATGAAAGCCGTCTGGAGGATGATCTTTTCACATCTGATTCTTCTCAGGATGATGACGGTGACGTCAATGACGATGCTGGTAGTGCTGATGGAGACAGTGTAGAGTTTGATCCCTTTGCTGGTGATTCTGATGATGATGACGACGACAACGATGATAGTATGTCTGATGGAGGCAACTCGGTGTATCAGTTGCAAAATGTATGCATGAAGACAAACGAAGTTGGGGTCGAAAGTCTTGTCTGCGTAGCACAGGAAAGCACCACAGACAAACAAAAGAAAAAAATATGGGGGAAGATTGTAAGACGGTGCTCGAAAGAAGTGTTTGACGTTCAATACGGGGAAAAAGGTACGCATCGCATCTATGCTCTACTCTTGTCTCATAATCATGTTATATCACTCAAGCTCTACTTTGATTGCACCGCTAGTGCTTCGCAATGTGTCGATTGCAGATATGATGACGATGGAATCTCGTCAATTGAAAGACAGCAAACTATCAGCTGGCAACAAAGTATACGCGCCATGGCCTGGGACAGAGAACCCTGCAACTGACTGTAAGTCCGTCATGATGTCTTCGCAAGATTGATCAAGAGATTTAGAATGTCCATCTAATTCCCCCTGCTCCATTGCACTTGGATCACCGATGTAGCGTATTTTTGGGGACGAATCAACGAAGTGAAGATTGGCTCACCAAGTGGAGACTCTAAAAAGCACTATTCCATTCTCTTCTTTCCGACCCCTGACAGCCACGGACTAGTCGACATCACTGATGATTTGGACTCGGAGTTCATCTATCGTGAAAAGGAAGCCATCTTCTTGATGCAGAATGCAGTTTTGCGCACCGACGACTTGCCATCTTCGCACGAAATGTCACTAGAGGAACTGATTGACATGAGAAGAGAACAACAAGAACCATCCAAGCCAAAACAAAAGCGTACAGCCAAAAAGAAAGCAAAAGCTCCTTCTGCCACAAAACCACCGAAACCAAGACGTAGGGCACCATCCAAACCAAGAACAAAACGACGAAATGCCGCTTCGAAGATATCTGAGAGAGCGCAGTCGTCTCGAATCATGGATCCAGCCAACGAAAGTAAGCTCCAACTATCGTTGGAAAGCCAAGACTTCAAAGACTCTATGTTGCAGGTCGACGAAAAGGTATACGCGCCGCATCCTGGCGAGGATCCGCAAAGAGAACGTAAGTACACAATTGATAAAGCCGCATCAGATACAGTACCGGATTTGATTCTTTCTCACAGGTCATCAATTTTCTTTCCTTTGTTGATAGGATACTACTGGGGTCGTATTACAAAAGTCTTCAAGTCAAATAACACGAAGAATTTGTACCGGATCGATTTCCCTGATGGGGACAGGACGGAGAAAGTAGAGTCCTTCTATCTACATCGGTATTTGGAGTGTATGCGCATGATGGAAAATGGATGGCTAGCAGAAGATAAACCGCCAAAGAATCTATAGTGCCAATACCACCCATGCAGGGCGGGTTTTGTACTCGACAGTAATACTGTACATAACTCTTGTTTCTCCTCAATATCTACAATTTGTTGACACGATACGATCTGATTGTGGTTACATGTCTTAGTATTTCCCTATGCACTACCTGCTACATTTTGCTATTGTCTGTTGGCGTCTACCCTTCAGTAATCTTGCGCCCATTTATATTGAGGAGAAAAGGCTATATTCTTTGATTCCCGTTTGTCCTTGAGACGACAGTCCCAGTTGCATACGATTATCGTGATGAAGTCTCATATCCCCTGAAAGTTTCCCCTCTTACTTTTTGTTTTGCTTATATTGAGCATCCATCTGTCGACACGTTCATGTGTCGTACACGTGTACGTAGAAGCTGGTAGTCTGCAACTAGACTGACGTCACAACTGAAAAGAGGCACAGCCACCAAAAATTGAGCAGAGAGCAAAGTGGAATGGTAATAACAACACCAGGAAGTGATCTAAAGACACTGTAGGAGATTGTTTCAAATCCACTAGACTTCACCATGACGAAGCAACAATATGGATATCCCACCCTTTCGAAAATCTTATTGTGGATCTGCTTCTCTCAGACTGCTGCATTTGAGAGACAATTGCACCGCTGGAAAAAAATAAATTCAAGCATTCGCTTACATGACAGCCTTTCTTCGTTTTATGATGATTTTGAAGATGTCCCCATGCCATCGAGTTCGTCCAAGAGCGATCAGGATTGGCTCGACTCACTCAAGAGAAGGCACGAGTCCATTGAGAGGGTGGCTATCCAACCCAGCAGCAGCTCAGCTCAGTATCTCCAAAATTGGAAGAGTGCCAACTGTGAGTCAACAGTCCGATTGGCCTTGGATGATTGGATTCGACGTATGGCAGTGGAAAATTACCCCTTGGCAGTTTGCGGAAGCGCTTCCGGGCATATTTATCTGGCGGACCTGGAACAAGGGCAAGAGTTGGACTGCATACGAGACGTACATTCAGCACAATTGCATGAAGATGACAGCCTGTACACAACAACTTTTCAAAACGCTATACGCGATCTGTACGGGAGGTATGATGGAGGGGGTGTCATTGCTTTGGCAATCAAAGGTGATATAATCGCTAGCGCCGGACGCGAGGGAGGTGTTCACATTGCCAGGATAACAGGTGAAGAAGAGGATATATACAAGGGAAGCAGGGGTGGAACTGCACGTCAAACAAAGCTTTCTTTGATCCGCGAAGGCTTTCTGAGGGGTCTCAAGAACACGTCGGATTCAATAGTCACTAGCCTAGCATTCGATGTTTCAGGTACTCTGTGGGTTGGTGGATACGATGGCAGGTTGATGGGGTATGACGCAGAAGAGATGGACGGGAACAACCAACCTGTGCTACTACGACAAAAATATCCAATGTTTGAGACCAAGCTCAATTCTCCAATTCTTAGTCTCAGCATTAATGATGACATTGGTTGTGGTGTCGGTTGTACCCGAGAAGGTGGTATCTTTATTTTTTCTACGGATGATGGCCAAGTCCTGGCCACTTGGAAACCAGTTGGAAAGAGAGATGAGTTCTTTCGAACAGCAATTATTGTGCAAAATGATCCAGATCCAGAAAGTGTCTGGTCAGTTGTATGCGGAGGTTCGGAGGGTAGCGTGTTTCAACGTTCGCTGAACGTGGACGCTTTGTCGCGCTCTGTCTCTGATGCCGCTCCATTTCGTGACATGATTGAAAATACCACTCATGAGTTGCCTTCGAAGTTGCGACCAAACCACCAAGGTGTGGTCCTCGCTATGGCTTCCCCTTACCCTGGACTGCTTGTCACTGGTGCCCAGGATGGCAATGTTCGAGTTTGGGATTGCTCAAGTCGGAACACTTCCCCTGTCGAAGCCGTTGAGGAAGAAGTAGCGGAAGCCAACTACGATGACACAGGAGTAAGTTCTCACAATCTACCAAGATGTTTGTATGCCATGACTGGTTACAAAGTCTGGCTGGGTTCAATATTTGCTGGTAAGAAGAAGCTTGTTTCAGATGGAGCTGATAACACCATAATCGTGCATTCTTTTGATGGAGAGGAAGATCTTTTGCTTCGTGATGATGATGAGGAAGGAGGCTTTGCCTATGAGTGAAACTGCACCTGTGTTTTTAAAATAGATTTTGTGTACCAAATTTTAAAAGAGTCAGCAGCAGCCGGTGTCATCGATGTAGGATCGACTAAACAGATTGCCACTAGTGTCCGCGTCCGCGTCCGTTCAATTTCCGAAAAGATCCAGATCGAAAAGCTGATGAGAACACCGAAAATCCCACAATATAAAACGTTAAGCTCAACAGGGCGATCCATACGGACGGCACTGTCAAAATAACCATCTTGGAAACATCGAGGCAACCATTCTTTGACATGAAACTATTTCTTCTTGCTCTAGTCGCGATTCTATCAATAGAGAATGCTTTTAGCTTACTCTCACCTAAACAATGCACACGGGGCATCATCAACCCAAAACATACGGCGTGTTGTCAACCAACGCTACTGCTAGCCACAGAAGGTGGAGACGACGACTCGTCATCAGTGTTGGAAGGAAAAATCATATATCAACGCACCTTCTATCGACTGACTCCTGGATCTCAAGTATCAATCCCCAATGCACTCGTGTTGGAAGAGCGCCTTCGCTTTCAATTAGATCCCGAAAGTACTAAATCTGGGTACATTCAACCAATTCAAGGCCGTACGTTCATTTTTCGAAAGGGGACCAGCAAGGATGAAATCACGCCTCCATTATACAGATTTGACGTTGGATCTGAAGATGGCAAGCCACACAATGGCCCTGGGACTATGGATGCGAGCATTGCGACTGCCCTGTGGATAGCATCGAATCCTCAATTGATTCAAGGGGACATGTTGCAATTAGGCTGCGATTCTGCTGTGTCCTCTGTATTGGGATGCATTGGAGCTAAATTGGTTCTTGGAGAAGAACTTGGTGGAGATAACGATTGGTCTGCCGAGCTATTGACAGTACCTGAACATCACATCCCCCTCCCTGAGAAGCTTTCCCACTTGACCCTCACAGATGAAAGCGAAGAAGCCTTGAAAGAAGCGTTAGCCATTGCCAAGAATTTCGACTCCAAGCAAGTTACCCTCAAGGATCTCCGTTGGAGCACTCGTCTACCGGCTGGAAGACAAGTCGACCGTGCCTATCGAACCATCCTTGGCAGTGATTTGGACTTTTCCTATCCAAGTTCCAAAGAATTGGCTCGGACTGTGGCCAACTATCTATTGCCATCCAATGAAATAGCTCTTGCCTCTACCAAGGAAGGTGTTGCTGGTGCATCATCGTCCTTTGGTGGCTTGGGAATGGACATGGGAGATTCTTCTTCCTCCTCCACCACTACGACCAAGAAGGAACTGGACCCCAAGATTCCGCCTACCTTTGTTCACGTTGCACCGGATACCAATGAAGACTTGCGATATCTCAAGCAATTCTTGGAAAAGGGGTTCAAAATGGCTGTCGAATCTGGTTATGTCAGCCTCGAACGACTTGCGTTTACCTTTCAGACGCTGGAACAAGGCGTCGACGAGGCAGAACTCGAAGAACTAGACACTCTGGAACTCAAAGATGATTTGACAAAAGGATTCCAGTTTGTACAAGCAGTGCACCATCCTGACTACTCTGGTCAGGGTACAGGAGAATACTTCTTCCCACTCGAGACTGGCGAATACGAAGGTGGCAGTCGGAGCACTTGGTTGGAACCTGAAGAAGGTGGAAGTCCATGGTAGTATACTGAGGCACAATACCCTTTATTTTCAAAGTAGTGCTACTCTACTTATAAAATAAGCATAATTTAAATAAAAAAAACAAGTTAGACCAAAATAAACTATCTATTATTAAAATAACGTTATTGTGGTTTTCAAATCGTGGTGTTCTTTGGTGCTCTCAAATGGGCGACGCAGAGACTGCGATCGTAGTCGTGGTATCGCACTCTGACAAACAAGAATCTATCATGCTCAACATATAAACCATCCATCCAGATAACTACCAACATGAAAGCTGCTGTTGCGACTGGGATTGAAGATGTCGACAATCATATCCACGTCAAGGAAGATTGGCCCAAACCGACGCTGGCAACAGCCATAGATTCAAAGACTGGCAAACTAGTCTCGGAACTCAAGGATGCGCACTTAATCGTTCGTGTACTCGCATGTGCCATTGCTCCCGGAGACTGTCGACTGTTTCGGGGAAAGACAGATATGGCACAGCTTCCAAAATACGGCAGACCGTATGTGCTTGGCAGTGATATTTGTGGGATCGTGATGGAAGTTGATGACAAGAATTCCTACTTTCAAGTTGGTGACAAGATTATTGCTCGTTTTGCCGAGCCACAACCGGTAGGAATGTGTGCAGAGTACTCTTGTGTCAAGACCGAGTTCAGTGAAAAATGTCCTTCGTCGATCCCTGCCATCCATGCTTGCACCCTGCCATCCTCGGCAGCAGCGGCCAAGAATGTTGCCGAAGGCTTTGTCTCAAAGGGAGACAGAGTTTTGTTGCTTGGAGCCAGTGGCGGAGTGGGGACCTTTCTCTCTCAATACATTAAACTGCAAGGAGCAAGTTTCTTAGCTGCAACGACGACCCAAGCCAAACTCGCAGAGTCGCTGGGTGTAGATCGGATCATAGACTATCGAACAGAAAATTGGTGGGAACTCGAATCCGAATTTCAAGGCAAACCGTTTGACAAGGTCATTGACTTAGTCAATGGCGAAAACTGGACCCGAGGGGCCCGTTCAGGGACCAAAGTCTTGCCGAAGAAGGTTCCCTATGTGCAACTTATCCCCGGCGTCGGAACAGAAATCAACATGACTGGTCTTGGCATCGGATCGTTTCTTGGTTCCATGCTCGGTCGAAAACTAGTTTCCAAGTGCCATCCCTCCTGCCCGAAATGGGAGATCCCACAAGGATTGGATCTACCACCTGGTCATCTAAAGAAGGTTCTTGGTGATGTGGAATCAGGAAAGGTTCGTGTGATTTTGGATTCGGCAGGACCATTCCAGTTCACGTCCGCAGGCGTTCGCGCGGCCATGAGGTTGCAACAATCCAAGCATGCCCACGGCAAAGTAGTGATAGAAATCGCTAAAGATGAGTGATGTCTCAAATAATAATATACGTATAATTGGTGATGTTTGAATTGCTCTTGAATGCAAAATCCGAGCCTACACACGTAGTAAGTGGTGGTGATACTTTGGCAACATGTTGGGAGATCGTGTCTTTTTACCCATCCCTTGTCCATCGTGTACATGATATTCTTGACAATCGACACTTTGATATTGACACTACGTATAGATCCTTGTTTGGTGGGTCGTGGGTTGTCACTCTACCCTCCCCATCGTACAATAGGTACCAGGTACAGTGGGGCAGAAACTTGAGATATACAGTCGAATAGTCATGGAAGTCGACTGATGACTCACTTGACGATGGACTCACTTTTATTTTCACTTTTCAACACTACCTGGTACCGGTACCGGTACTGATACTCGTGCCTGGTAACTGTACGTGCCACACGGAACGTGAGCGAGTATCTCATCACTCCACCGTCGGTCAGTCCGTCCGTCTAGCTGTCAATGGTTAGTCGCGGAATTCCCTTTCACGCCAGCCGGTTTTCTTTAGCATTTTGAATGTTCCGGAATACTGCATACTGCATGACGATGAGTTGAGTCAGTCAGTCACTCGAGAGACTCATAAGATCGATCGTTGCATTATACAGTTCGGTGGCAGTCATCTATCATAATATATATAAACGAAGAGAAGTGTTTGTTCACCTGCATCATCAGACTGACCGTATAGCCAAAGTGCGAGCCACTGGACAGTAAAATGGGAGCCAGCTCGAGCAAAGGCGGCGTGTCGGGGAAAGGAGGGTCTTTTTCAGATGAGATTTACAAAGTCTTTGTGGAATTGGATACAGACAACTCTGGCTCACTTGATTTTGCCGAGGTTCAAGAAGGTCTTCAAAAACTGCGGTATCCAGCAAACTATGCCTTTGATGTTTTCACCACACTCGACAAAGACAATAACTCCGAAATCGATTTCGAGGAGTTCAAGGAATGGGTTGGAATGAAGCACGAAGATATGAAAGTCCTCTTTGAGAGCGTAGACAGAGACAACAGTGGATTCATCGACTTTCAAGAACTGAAGTTGTTTCTATACCACCTCGATCTACCGATTAAGAATGCATCGATGCTTATGAGAAAGCTAGACAAGGACGGAGACCAACGACTGTCATTTGAAGAGTTCAGATCAGGTTTTGCTCTATTGCATCCCTCGCATTTTTCATCTCTGAAGGACACGTGGATGGAATATGAATCTGACTCTGATTTAGCCGGTGTATCTGCCATTGACGTTTCCCGTTCTGCAAAGCGCGACGAATCCAAAACAGTTCCGGCATGGACTTCAGCTGTTGCTGGAGGTTTAGGAAATTCCATTTCAAGGACAATCATCGCACCATTGGAACGAACTCGAGTCCAAATGATTGCAGATGCTGGCAGGTATCCGAGCATGCTTGCTTGTATGCAAGATATCTTCAAAGTTGAGGGAATCACTGGATTTTGGGCGGGTAATGCACTCAATATTGGTAGAATTGCACCACAAATGGCTATTGCTTTCTATGCAAAGGACTACTTCAAAGTTGTGTATGCTGGTGAAGGAAACAAGCCGACGCCTCTTCAGACACTCGCTGCATCAATGTCAAGCGGTATTGTCTGCCAAACAGGTGTGTATCCGATTGATCTCATTCGCACCCGGCTAATGACTTCACCTGGCGCATACGATGGGATGTTAGATTGTTTGAAGAGTACAGTCAAGGAGGAGGGTATGCGAGGGCTTTACAAGGGACTGCTTCCAGCCAACATGTTTGCAGTTCCATATTATGGTACCCAGTTCTTCGTCTATGATATGCTGAAGGTACAGTATACCACCTTCAATCGTCCACCGGATGATCCACGCCCCGCCAATCCACTCATTGGTATACCCTTGGGCGCAATATCCAGTATGACGGCATGTTTTGTTGCCTTTCCCTTTCAAATGGCTTGGAAGCGGTTACAGGTCCAAGGTATCGGGGGCAGACCAATTCAATACTCTGGTACAGTTGATTGTCTCCGTCAGGTCGTTGCAAAGGAAGGGATCAAAGGTGTGTACGCTGGTCTAGTCCCAAACTTGATCAAATTGGCGCCAACGGGCGCAATTTCCTTTCTTGCTGTAGAAGCAATCAAAGACTTTATGGGATGGCGACCCCAAAAAATGATGTCCGGCAAAGCTATTGCTATGAAATAGAACACTACTGATCGCTGTCATCACCAGGTGCCCATCGTGGGGCGGCTGCGCAAATCTCTTCTGGAAGTTTTTAGTGGCCTGTACTGGGATATTTTCTCCTTTTTGGTTCTTTAGGAGATGGAAAATACCCAATTTTGCAAATGAATAAATTCAATCTGTTGCTACACTGTTGTTATACTACATTGATAAGACAGTGCGTCCATACGATTTTTTTATTAAAAGGTCATTTACGTCTGTTCTCGTCCGCCCCATCATAATTTGATTCCATAAAAATTGATAACCGAACACCTTCAAATCAAAACCTTCTTATCTGATACTACAGTGAAAGGCATACATCATCATACCATCCTATCGCCCCTCTCGCCATGGATAGACGGTGATCTGAATACGATGGTTACTCCACTAATAAGCAATCAGACCCGAAAACAAAAGGATACCAACAGAATCGAAGATGAACAAGTTGAAATTCTATTAGAAACTCCGGAGGATGTGAAACAGCTAACCGGCATTGCAAAAAGTCAAAAGTGCCACAGGATTCGTCTTGCTGATAAGTTGTTTGGACCACCACAGTGGACTTTGAGATGGAATCAACGGCGATCCTTGTTTCAGCAGCTTGGTAATCTGGAAAACTTGACAACATTGGTCGTTCATGGCACGATTATGGGTCAAGTGATTCCAGGACAGTCTCTAGCTCTGAGCATCAATGCGCCAAATCTTCGCATTCTGAAAGTGGAAGGAGGAATAATCTTGGATTCAATCACATATGTTGAGGATATGGCTGAAGCCGTACGGAATCACAAAAGTCTTCAGGAATTTTCATTTCTGAATTTTCTGAATCACATCACACCGGTGGATTCACTCTACTTACTGGATCCATTACTTGGAGCATTATGCACGATACCAATCATGACGAATTTGCAGCTACGATGCTTTTCCTCTTTTATGCATTGGAACACTAGCTTCGCCTCCAGCCCAGCACTTCGGCAGCTACTGCAGTCGACGAAATGTCTTAACCGTCTCGAACTGACCAATCTTGGACTGGAAGATGACCAAATGCAAGTGATAGCATCGAATACACAGCCTAAACTACAAGAGCTTATTCTGAATGCTAATGGCAATACGAAGACAGGACTCAATTCTGTACTAGACGGAATTCGATCACACTGGACGAAACTGGAAGTTGCAAATGATGTGAAATTCAACAAAGACTCATTCAATATCTTGAATGATCATTTAAGGTCGTATTCGAATTGTTTGCAATTCTTTGCTTGCACCTTCCCTCTTGGGATGGAAGAAAGAAAACGAGCAATCGATCTCCAGCTGGAGCTTCACCGAATGAATCTGAACGCGCGGTACTATTCTCCATTAGTATCACCAGAACAACGAATTCAACTGCTAGGCGAGGTCACGGCAGCACCGAATCAACTAGATTTCGTGTATACACTATTGCGAGAAGAACCCATGATTTGCGATTTGGAAATGAATGGACTTGGTGTGAGATTGCTGAAAGATACAAGGATGCAACAATTGACTTTGCTGCTTCTCTTGTGGCTGATTTGGTCCCACTATTTGTTAGGACTTCCACCGAATCCGATCTATGAAGTCACGAAGCGAATAGAGATAGACCTCCTCTGCACTGCGGACAGGAGCTCTTCTTTGAGCATTGTACCCGATATCGCTCCGACGACTGTTACGGCTGGGATGAGCCGATTGGACCTTGCCCGATCCAAGAGAAATGTAATGAGGTCAAGGGTACAAATGAAAATCGACGCCTTGGCGAGAACGACCCCGTCAAAGCGTAGCATGGAAGAAAAGAGTAATGGAAATTCAAGGATCGTGAAGCATTGTCGACTAGAAATGCAATCGCAACGAAACAGTCTTAGAAACGCCATGGCCTCCTTCTGCAATGGAATTTGAAGTGTCTCTACTGTTGATTAGAAAAGTGTGAAATGACCGAAGTAGTAGCGAATCAACGGGTCTGTGTAAAAAGCATTCAAGCTTAGTCGAAAGGCGTTGTATGTCACTGTATTCCTCGTAAACTAATGTTCTTAGTACTATTACAATCTTGCAAAACCCGACTTATATATTTTTTTAAATACATCTCTCACAACCAATCGTCGATTTGCTCTTACATTGCACATGCATGCCGCGAACTTTGAATGTCAATCACATCCCAGAAAATGTCAGGCAAATATGCGGGTGCACTTTTGACACACTTTTTGCACGTACAAAGACATGAAAGCGAACTCCAAGATGCACGATTGGCCACAAGCTTCTCAAAATGCATGGTGCCAGTACTGATGACGTGGTCGTAAATATGGTGACAAACACGAACTTCTAAATAAACATATTTCTTCTCCTCTTTCCCAAATGTCTGGCACTCACAAAACACGAACAGAGACAAATAAAACATTATCTTCCGAAAACATAAAAATCAATCATGAAGACAAATAGTTCAATATCTCGTCCAAAGAGGGTACAGTTCTCGAAGGTTGTAAAGGTTCATGGTGTCAAGTGCATTGACGACTACACTGCATCAGAAAGATCGAAAATATGGATTGATGCAAATGGGTATTCAAGAATTCGCGAAAACAACAGGTCGATCGTCGAAATGATTGACAATGGCGAACGAGAAGAAGACAAAAGGGAGATTTGCTTCCGTGGATTAGAAGACAAGAGCTCTGAAGCGTCGAAACGAAGGAGACATACAAAGCAAGAAGCATGCGAGGTGGTCCTGTATGCTCAAGAGGCACAATGCGACGAGCTCCTGTCAGGAAATCTAGATTGGGAACCTATCCGAGAAGCATACCTATCAGTGTCCAGTGATTCCTCAAGCGTCGCACAAGAAGTGGGACTATCAGATGGTAAGGAATGTTCTCCAACCTCTTCTCGATGCATCCTTTTGTCGTCATACTAATCCACCACTTCTTTTTTTGCTTTCAAAACAGCATTCAATGCATGGGGTGGCTACCTGAAATCAACTGGAGATGATGCGCAAAAACTCAGACTTTCAACAAGACCGATAATGCAATCACCAAGGCTTCAACATCATCGAAGTTTATCTCATGTATTCTAATAACGAAAACGTGAAGCATGCAAAGAAACAATCGCTCCACTTATCGCAAGGCAGCTGCTGGCTGCTGGCACTTGTTTCGTTCAATGGCAATTCATCATCGATATCAGGTGAAAAAGGAATTTAGCCCAGCAAGGGAGCCATATTTTTCTGAGCCATATGGAAAAGTGACTTCGAAAACTGCATTTACATTTAGAATCCATCATGACTTACTGTTACCTCTCGAGGGACTTACCAACACACTCACTCGCTGCACTAAAATAAGAGGGTAAAACATTCTCCCTCACACTTGTTCTTGAAACGGAAGAATTCTCGGGCAACAGCTCAAAACGTGTTCGTTCGTATCACTGCAGTAGCGACAGTTGATGAAGCATCAGCGTGACTGTGAATGTCAAGGCTTGGTGAAGCTGAGGCTAGAGCGCCGCGGCTTCTGGGTGGAGACGACGGCCTAATAATTCGCGCTTTCTCATTGAAAAACTTTGAAAGTTGGGGCCACTCCATCAGAGAAGAATATGGATGAATAATTCGTGTACTGCTCACTGATGGAAGCGTCCAAAATTGACAGTCATGAAAGAAATGATGAAACCCTGCTGTGTCGATCAGCCTGCCTTCTCATTTCACAATACAGTTATTGCCCTCCCTTACTGTAGTACTAGAAGATGATCCAAAGAGAGGTTGGAGTTTGGCCGATGATGCCACTCGTTTCGCGAGGATTCTCATGAGGTAGACGGAAGAGTTTGGATTTTGCTTCATCCTGTAAGCTGAATGATGAATGAATAATAACAAGCATAATCATCATCATGGCATTGTTATTGTCTGCGATTGACGTCCTTGAGGAATCCCCATACCTACATAAAATGTGAGGATTCATGATTCATGATAGATTCATTCAATCATCCAGATGACGTCATTTACGTGGTCTGTATGGCGTCCGTGCAGTACCCCAATTCGCAACCGCAAATCATCATCATCATCATTACCATACATCATTACATCATCATTGCAGTATAGTAGTACAATACAATACTATCCACTCCCATCAACCCACAATGGCGTCCAACAGCAATGAAGAAGAGGCATCCATGACCATGCAACAACGAGAAGATTGGCTACGAGAGCGGGGAGTAGAGATTGAACCGCCCCAGACTGCCACTTCCGAATCCTGCTCTTCCAGCACTACCGGTACCATGTCAAGCATTCTGGAGCAAATGGCGGGTGTTGGATTGAAGGAAGACGAAGACGACGTCTCCAGCAACAACGTGTCATTTGTATGCGTCCCTCAAGATGAATCCAAGGAAATCTTTAGTTTGAAGCTACCAGCTTCTCTAGCAAAGAACGCTAACGGCGACCTTCTTCCCAAATACGTCAAGCCCTACTTTGCTTCGGATCGGCAATCCATTGATACCGCATTGCTGGAGCAACAAGCCACTAAGCACTTTGCGGGGGGCAATTTGTCTGGTCTAGTAGAATCCAACATTTCTGCTGCTTCCATGAATGCGGCTGCTGCCATGGGGAGTGTCGAAACCTTTCCTCTTGTTCATCCTGCGGATACCAACGGCTACACTGGAGTCTACATTTATTTGGACGAAGTTGGCATGCTCAAGAAACTGCCGAATAACAATCGAGCCACTCGTATCGCAGCCACTTGTGGTTTCCATCCTCCTCCCAACTTTTATGGAGATGTATTCATTGGACGAGTCACTTCCAGACCAACCTTGCAAAATGTCAACTTTGAAGTCCATGATACCAACCGAGAATCCCAGTGGATGCAACGAGCAATCTCTGAAAACCTTATTTGGCAACAGGAACTGAACAAGGTGACCAACAAGACGTCGGAAGTTCAACCACCTGCGGTTGGGACGGAAGGAAATACCGCCGAAGAGAACAACTTTTCGTGGACTCAAGATGAAGAAGAAGTGGAGCTGTCCGTGTTGCCACCAATGGAGGAGTCGTCATCCTTCAATAAGAAACTCGTAAAAGTCATCTTTCTCAGCAAAAAAGTTAAAGTGAAATATGACAAGCAAGATATTCTGGATGTGTCACTGTATGGCGCAATTGATGTTGACGGGTGCACATGGACCATTGACGGATCCAATATTGTGATCACATGTGAAAAGGTGGATACTGGCACATTTTGGCCTCGCATAAGCCCCTAGTGACAATTTCCATACAGTACTATGCCGGCCGGTACACCACTTAGTGTATCATCGAAGGATTGAAAACAGAAAGGACAAGATTGAAACACTTGAGACCAGATTGCTTCAAAATTTTGTTGTTTCTAGTGGTATGATTCTATTTCGACTGATCTTTGTTCGTGTCCAAAAACATCGGATATATATATACATATATGTATATATGATGCATGGATCCCCTTCAATGGAGTTTTCCCAAGGATTTACTCGCAATGGCGGTCAAGCAGATCATAATTTTCGGGTTGATATTCTTGTCTGCTCGGATTTGCCAAGAGCTAGAAGATACACTGCCATTTTCAAAGGACTGGCGCACTGCCCCGCAGCATTGCTTCGTGTCCTTCTGGTAGACCTTTAGCCGGAGTGGTCCAAATCTGGAAGATCCACGGACAACATAGGCGATATTGTTTTCATTACCACAATTAAGATCATTGTTGATTACAACAAAATTGTTTGAAAAGCAACTTGTTTTTCGAATAGTCATGTGTTCGTAGAGCAATTGGCCCCTGATTCGGATTCGGTGCGACTTTTGTGTGGGGCACAGTGGTGTAGGGTAGAGCAATTTGTAGGCGAAACATCGGCCACTTCTCTCGGACAAAACCACGGCGAGGACTTTGCCATTCTCTTGGAGAATGGCTCGTCCACCGAAGCCATCCATGCGCCCCTTGATTTTCCACGATCTTCCTGCACCATCGGCAATACCATCGACCGTCATTGTTCTGCCAGTGCTCTGGTGCATGATGAACTCATGGTTGCTGTTGCTGCGGCCGTCCGAGTCTTCTGGTGAATAATAAACGCTAGATTGAAAAGTTGATCTAGATTTCAATGACATTGTCATATACGAATTGTAGGTTTGATTTCTCGTTTTGGGTTCAGCTTTTTGGATTTGTGAGCTCAACGATATACTGGTATCAAAAAGCCGGTAACAAACACGATTGTAAATACACGCAACCACTTTTCTCACTGGAAAAGCGTATTATATTATTCAACCATATTATTGGATTGATATGGTGGAAGAACCTATGAAATATTAATAGCGCTGGAAAAGAATTAGGGTGATTAATTGAAGTTCTCGCTGTGACAGTAGTTATTTTTACATTTTCCGGTCAGATATTTATCTGTTTCGACGAAGAGCATCGCATAACCGCAGAAGAAGCAAAATGAACGATTCATTCATCGGCCGATGCGACAACGAAGAATCAATACGTCACCAATTTTGGAAGAGTCAATCATCTACCGCTACTGTACTAGCTAGTCACCCTCGGTGCTCCTCTTGCTTGGTTCTGATCAAGAATTGATCATGCGGAGTGTTGCTGGTTTCTGGACTACCGGTACTGTACGGTACTGTACTGTACTGTACGGTACCGAAACTGCGGAATCAGTCCAGTATGGCCTGTCACAAGGAGCATACACTACAAATAGCTCCGAAACTCTAAGGACATGCTTCATGCAGTACGTGCAGTAGGCAACAACCTTTTAGATTTGTATTGGACTGTAGCAGGATGCGACCTAGCTAAGGACGAACATAGCAATGTATGTATGTGACGAGAATTCCATTCCAACACATCCATGAAGCTTCTTGATTTCCTTCCAAAGAAGTATGGTGTGTAAGGTTTGTTGATAGGGATCAGATAAAAGTGTAGTACCGACAAAACGCAAATAGAACTATAAACAAGTGAAGTACAGACGAAATTGTCTTTATTGTTCCAGTTGACTTCATACTATTGTACTTTCAAATTGCATTTCATTCATGAATAAATCGTTTTATCCATCATGCTGGTCGTTTCTCTTGCACGGTATTTTTTCACCACAACATCACAGCTCTCCCCATGGATTTGTTCGCAATTGCAGTCAAGCACACCATGATTTTTGGGTTGATTCCTTTTTCCACCCGAACTTGCCATGAGCTTGACGACACATCGCCGTCCTCAAAGTATTGTCGCACTGCACCGCAGTATCGACCAGATTCTTTCTCGTATACCTTGAGTTGAAGGGGACCAAACTTTGAGGTACTTTGCGCAACATACTCCATTCTGTCACAAAGACCTTGGATCACAAAGTTATTGGAAAAGGAACTTTTCTTTCGAATAACTATGTGTTCATAAAGTTTCTGGGCCTTGATTGTCGTTCGATGAGGTTTCTGTGTTGGGTAGAGGGGTGTGATTCCCAAGAGCTTGTATTCAAATCGTCCTCCTGATCGTTCGCTGATTACAACAGCAATGATTTTACCGTTCTCTTGGAGAATAGCTCGGCCCCCGAAAGGATCGATGCGGCCTTTGATTTTCCAGGATTGGCCGATCCCATCGATAAGCATAGCTTTGCCCTTATCGCGCATGGTAAACTCTTGGCTTGTCTCGCGTGCGCAAGGGTCACCACTGCATTCCTCTGTTGAAAACTCGGAGCTTGAAAGGCGACGTGACTGTCGTCTTTCATAGTGTGAATGCAGAGCTGTCGTTGGTGTTGCAGAAAGATCGATAGAGGTGTACGGTATATGACGTTGAATGTTCATGGTTTTTTGATCTGTTGTTTTATTGTGAGCACAATCACAAACTAGTTTTTCTGTGTCTTTGACCAACGATTTGGGAAAACAGGCGAAACTGTGGGGCTTTTAGAAGAAAAATTAAATAAGGCAAGTCGAATTGCTCCGAAACCTCAGTGAAAAGGATCATAGGCGAAAACAGAGTGCATTTTCAAAAACTAAAATAAGTCGAAGTTGTATTTCTCCGAAACCTTGCTTCGCCTTTTCATTGTCGTCTACTTAGATGCAAATAAACAGATGAACAGCAAAGAAGGACGATTCCTGGTTTGTGTGATTCAAGTCGGGACTGGAAACATAAAAATTATCGAATAGGGGCTTACTTTGTTTTTAAAATAATCACAGTTTGATGATATATATAGTCCGAAAAGAAGCGACGTTGCAATAAAGATCTGGTGAGAGTTTTACAAATTCGGGAACGATAATATCGCTTGGCTGGGTCGGCTTATCTACCATCTACCATCTACGGTATCGGTATCGGTACGACGCGATGTAGTTGCAATGAACACAAATTTGCAAAAGTTTTAGCCGAAGCTCATCAATTCTTAGTTAACCAAGAAGGGCAAAACCAACCACAGAAACAAACATGGAGATCTACTTGAGTTACAGCGAGCAAAACCAACAAACTGCTGCACGTCTTAAAGAAGATATTGAGGCATACACAAGTTTTGTTGTTGCGTTAGACCACAATGATGATTGGGAAGAAGTCGAGGACAATGAGTTGGGAGAACATATTCACCAGGCGGATGGTCTACTATTCTTGGCAACAGAGACTTCCATCATCACAGTTTGGCTCATTGACGTGAACAAACAAATTAATCGAAATGAAACCATACCAGCAAAAATTAAATTGCCACGGACGATAGACATTTCGGACTCCTACTATGAAGAAGGTTTCGCCACGTTGCTTGGCCACATCGCTCAAAATATGGATAGGAGATATGGTTCTCTTCACTTACAGCAGGAGAAAGAAGACGACCGTCATGGCCCTTCGCACTATGAAAACAGTCTAAGAGATCTTTTCGCAAAATCAAAGGTGAAATTGGACCGAACAGGTGCATTGAAAGCTAGAAGGCAAGAACGTGCTTGCCGAAAAAATCGCCTTCAAGAAGCACGAGCGCAACGACTTCTTCGGGCATACCGATATTAGTTCATTATATATGCCTGGACAACCAAAACTAATCCTTTGAGAAAAGCATTTTCTATAAAGTTTTCTAAATACTCCTATCAAAGGAACACTTTCATCATTATTAATTAAACTATCTTCCAGCACCATGGTGTTGCAGATGAGAAACTGGTTCAAGAGCAAAGCCATCATGAATGATTCCAAAAGTTCCAAGTCAAAACTGCTACAATTGTCCATGTCTACTAGAAGTCAGGTTGCGCTGAAGACCTGAGCTCTTCCGTACGGTTGAAGATTGTTCTACGCTTTCTTTCTCGCACGGCTGGGCCGTCGAATGTTCCTGAACGTGTGTGCAATTTTTCTGCAGGCCTCCAAGTGAGTCACCTCGTCCCAATGTTTCGTATCATCATTCTGCTTCAAGAACCGTCCGCCCTTCTTCGTGATTTCATCTATTATCGTCTCCGTGAGCTGCATCTTTCTCCCCTTCTTGGACTCGTTGTGCTCATCCAGCATCGCGAGAACAAGATTTTTCATCAGGATGTTGCCGTCGTTCTTCCTACTGCCGGGTCCAAACAAAACGTCCAACGGTCGAGGAATGATAGTACCTGTTGACGCGAGTGATTGCATGTCGGTATCACTGTCGCTCACAGATGTCAGTTCCAGCTCTTGTCTGTGACGATACCATTGCAAATGGTCCATCAGATTGGGTTCGTTGGAGTCATTAAGAATGGCTTCTTTGGGAATGCCAAACGATGCCAGCTTGTAGAGACAATCAGTACAAGAACCGTAGTGCACCCTCATACGGGGTCTGAGAGCGAATGGTAAGCGCAGAACTGCAACACTGACAAAAAGAAAGGTTGACATCTCGTTGAAACAGCAATGAAGGCCGGCAAAGAACACAGGCAGGTCCCACAGAAGGCCAGAGTTCGATGCATGCTGATTACGATGTGACGCTAGCGCACCGAAGTAAATCAGGATTATTCCATTCCTTTGATGCTCTTCAGATTCCATCATATTCATAAGAACATAATATCGAGCTCTGAGCACGGTTTCGACTTCGGCTGTGGTTTCTTCACTCCGAAGAGACGGAAAGACAAGAAAAATAGCCCTCCCTGATCGATCTCGTTTCGTCGATATTTGCACAGCACCCGATTCGAGGTACTTTTTGTCATCCTCATTCAAATCAGTCAATGTTATCTTCCGTGTCAGTTTTTCTTGGCCAAAGAGTGACCGCTTCAGTTCCAAGAATTTAATCATTTGACCTGCTGCAGCCTGAGGATCATACCGATTGGAACGAAGAAACATCATCCGAAACTTTCTGCTTGTGACATATACTCGATCAATAGCTTCGGCAGTCTCATAGACGGTCCCTCGTTTGATATTCTGAAGGTGCATATCAAGAAGCTGCAACCAGAGTTCAACAGAAGCAGGATTGCTCTCGGGGTTTTCACTGTTACGTATCCCGTGTAGATCTTCAAGAATGGACTCTCTATGCATCAATTAAAAATCGACCATGAGCACGCTTCGTTCGTAGCAACACCCCATATAGAACCCAGGAACAAATAGCTTAGGAACAAATGGCTTACCGTTGCCGAACATCCAACTGGGCCATTGAACTGGCTAAGAAAGAATCAAGCTGTTGCCGTGTGCCTCCCACATTGTTGTCTTCCGCATACGGAGGAGATATCGCGGGTAAATGTGTGCCAGTCAGCAACCTCTGTAGCCAAGAGTTGTTCATCATGGAACTCCCGCAGAACTGGTAAAAGGCTTATATTTTGACCGCGGTGTGCTGCGATGATGATATAATATATGAATGTGTAGTACTTCAGGTATACCGGTGTATACCGGTACTGTATAGTGCTGTAGTGATGAGCCACCGCCGGCCGCACCGTGCGGCGGGTTATTGTTTTCCAGAATCCAGGAAGGAATTTGGAATTTTGGGGCCATGAAGCAAAAATTTCAAAAAGCACCTGTGGACCTACAGTCTACAGTATATATATATGTGGTACCGGGAGGTATTATACTGCACCAAGAGTTAGTATACTCTTGACTGCGGTAGGTAAATGATACAGTGCAGCATGCGGGTCCTCGATTATTTTCCATATTCATATCGGCGAGGATTTTGTGAAGCTGCTGGAATTGTTTGACTTCGGTCTTGTTGTAGCTGGAAGGAGGTTTGGTGGTCTTTGTTGTTGTTTCCGATGGCTTCTTTTTTCAGATAGAGGATCTTTCGATTTGTGGCAGCGGTACAAACATGAATGGACGACTCTTGTTGCAGGATACCGTGGGCACTGTTGGGAAATACTGTCATTGAAACTGACGCTGCAGTAGGTAATTATGATACAACATGATAGCAACGGAAATGAAAATAAAACGAATCCCACAGACACAGACACAGTTTTCAGTTTCAGAGCTGTTGTATTTTCTCTTTCACTACAGGACAGCTAGTACAGTATTTTTTATAATAATATTGGAAGGGAAAAATAACTCAACTCCAACAAAATTCTTCAAATATTTCTGTACAGTAATGTGCCTACCACAAACAGAATCTGAAGTACATACTACATACCTAATGAACCCATAGCACATGACAACTACAACTCTGCAGACATGACTATTTTTAAAAATAGAAATAATTGTTTCATGATGTGCTATATCCCAGTAAATGAAAGCCAACCAATAGGCTGGTCCCATGAATATATCGATTGAGACGCTCAGTACAAGAACCCCAATGTTGCCGAGTGTCCACTTTGATAGCCCTCGTTAACATAGATTATCAGAGTTTTTAGCCCTCACCCCTCACCTTCATGACTTGCTTTTCGCACGGCTGGGTCGTCGAATGTTCCGAAATGTGTGCGCGATCTTCCTACAAGCCTCGATGTGACTTGCTTCTTCCCACTCCTTCGTATCGTCATTTTGCTTCAAGAACCTTCCGCCTCTCTTCGTGACTTCATCTATTATCGTCTCCGTGAGCTGCACCTTATCATTGTTAGTAGAATCGTTGTATTCGGCAAGGACCTTGTGAGCAAGATTTCTCACAAGGATATTACCTTCATTCTTCCTACTGCCGGGTCCAAACAAAACGTCCAACGGTCGAGGAATGATAGAACCTGTTGACGCAAGCGATACCGATTCGGCGTCACTTTCGCTCACATATGTCAGTTCCAGCTCTTGTCTGTGACGACACCATTGCATATGGCCAATCAGATTGGGTTCGTTGGAGTCATTGAGAATGGCTTCTTTGGTAATGCCAAACGATGCCAGCTTGTCCAGACATTCAGTACAAGTACCGTAGTGCACCCTCATACGTGGTCTGAGAGCGAATGGTAAGCGCAGAACTGCAACGCTTATCAAAAGATAGGCTGCCAGGTTATTGAAACAGCAATGAATACCTGCCAAGAAAACTGGCAGATCCCAAAGAAGGCCAGAGTTGGATTCGCGCTGATTAGGTTGTGACAAAGCACCAAAGTAAACCAGTACTATTCCATTCCTTTGATTCTCCTCAGATTCCAGCATATTCATGAGCACGTAGTATCGCGATCTAAGCGCGGTGTTGACTTGGACTTCGGTTCCGGTTCTTCGGAGAGATGGAAAGACAAGAAGAATTTCTCTCCCTGATCGATCTCGTTTCGTCGATATTTGTAGAGTACCCGATTCGAGATACGTTTTCTCGTCCTCATTCAAATCAGTCAATAGTATCTTCCGTGTCAGTTTTTCTTGGCCAAAGAGTGACCGCTTCAGTTCCAAGAATTTAATCATTTGACCTGCTGCAGCCTGAGGATCATACCGATTGGAACGAAGAAACATCATCCGAAACTTTCTGCTTGTGACATATATTCGATCAATAGCTTCAGCAGTCTCATAAACAGACCCTCGCTTGATATTCTGAAGGTGCATATCAAGAAGCTGCAACCAGAGTTCAACAGAAGCAGGATTGCTCTCGGGGTTTTCACTGTTACGTATCCCGTGTAGATCTTCAAGAATGGACTCCCTATGCATCAATTAAAAATCGACCATGAGCACGCTTCGTTCGTAGCAACACCCCATATAGAACCCAGGAACAAATGGCTTACCGTTGCCGCACATCCAGCTGGGCCATTGAACTGGCTAAGAAAGAATCAAGCTGTTGTTTTGTGATCCCTTCGTTGTCGTTTTCCGCATAATGAGGCGATATGTAGGGTGAGTCTGTGCCACCTAGCAGCCTCTGAAGCCAACTGTTGTTGTTTGTCATGATGGAACTTTCACGGAACTGATGCTGAGAGTAATTGTTTGGTAGGGTCAATGATTATGATAACGAACCACCATCGCTTCGCGACCGCTATGCCTTTCCGACCGAAACTTCAACTGCATATGGTATACATTTCTCCGTGCTCGTTCAGAAGATCATCGTACCGGAACACGTCTACACGAATTTCAGCGAAATCCAGTATTGTATCACGTATCACAAAAGTTTGATTCTTTACCTTTCCAATGTCCCGGTATGCTGTTTCTCACTTATTGATACGGTATATCCGAATGGCTGACCCACTCTCCTATTCCTACACAAAACTGAAATTACACCGGAAAGATCGAACGAATCTACCGGGACAGTATATATAGTATTTGGTACACGCTGGAACGTGTACGTGCTCGAGTTCCCGCACCATGAATAGTTGCAGAAGCTTGAATTTGCCATCTTCGAAATGTCTTTGGGCAAAGAGAAAGAAAACGAAGATTATTGGGTTCTGTCCATTACAGTAGATTCTACAGGTATACAGAGGACGACGACAACAACTTTTCCCACATCAACTATTTCTCAGTGGGACTATTGCTGGAAGAATCATTCATATACGTTCAGGAGCATTGTCTTGGCCACAATGCATTCTCAATTGACTTGGCACCGAGCTTCCTGCTCCAATCCCTCAAGTGGATTTATAAAAGAGTAAAGTGTAATACCTACGAAATTTGAATACTTTTTCAGCAATCCACCAGGGAAGAAATCCGACAGGTGGGAAAAGCGTGAGATGATGGCTGATTGCTGCGCCTACTAGGTGATGATTTCCTCCCCGACGTTCCACAACTAGGTGTACAATATATTACGACCATGGTGAATTCAATTTAACTCAAAGGCGGGGTACGGTATCATACTGTAGTTGACTAGTTCTCAGTTCTCAGGTTGGTGGTAGCCGCTAGACTTCCACTGAAGTTTCCACTTGCACCTCGCCACTGATTTCTTCGCACGGCATCCTATAACTAGGTCGAATACAATACATCAATATCCAGTTCTAAGTTCTCCTGTTGCTGGAGGTGGTTCTCAATCTCTTAGAAATGCATCAACAGCAGGTCTGTACTTCATTTCTCCAATTCATCTTAAGCATGGCATAAGTACTCCAAACTCATTCGCCATCTGTAATCCTTCCTTCTGAATGCTACCCAAACTTTTATACATTTCCAAAATCCATTGCTTGATTTCGATGCAGCAAGGCTTGATTATTGGCCCAATGCTACCCAGTTGGATCAGGACGAACAACCGTGCACTCACTACGCACGTTCTCAAGAGTCAGCTTTGATAGCCCTCGTCACCCGGCTTCCGTAACGTTATCAGAGAACTCCGATCTCACCATAAGACGCTCTATGACTTGTTTTTCGCGCGGCTGGGTCGTCGAATATTCCTGAACGTGTGTGCAATTTTCCTACTGGCCTCCGTATGATTGGCTTCTTCCCACTCCTTCGTATCTTCATTTTGCTTCAAGAACCGTCCGCCCTTCTTCGTGATTTCATCTATTATCGTCTTCGTGAGCTGCATCTTATCCCTTTTAGTAGACTCGTTGTATTCGGTAAGTACCGTGAGAACTAGATTTCTCATCAGGATATTGCCTTCGTTCTTCCTACTACCGGGTCCAAACAAAACATCCCCGGGTCGAGGAATAATGGTGTGTGTTGACGCGAGAGATTGCATATCGGTATCACTGTCGCTCACATATGTCAGTTCCAGCTCTTGTCTGTGACGATACCATTGCAAATGGTCCATCAGATCAGGTTCGTTGGAGTCATTGAGAATGGCTTCTTTGGGAATGCCAAACGATGCCAGCTTGTAGAGACAGTCAGTAGCAGAGCCGTAATGAATCCTCATGCGTGGTCGCCGTGTGGATGGTAAGCGCAGAACTGCTACGCTGATAAAGAGAAAGGTTGACAGCTCGCTGAAACAGCAATGAATGCCTGCCAAGAAAATCGGCAGATCCCACAGAAGACCAGAGTTCGATGCATGCTGGTTTCGCTGAGACGTTACCGCGCCAAAGTAAACCAGCACTACTCCATTCATTTGATATTCCTCTGATTCAAGCAAACTCATCACAACGTAGAATCGTGCTCTGGTCAAGGCTTCGGTTGTGGTTTCTTCTCTTCCTAGAGATGGAAAGACAAGAATAATTGCTCTCCCGGATCGATCTCGTTTGGTAGATATTTGTGTGACACCTGATTCTAGGCAAGCTTTGTCATCCTGATCCAGATCGGCCAATGTTATCTTCCTTGTCAGTCTTTCTTGGCCAAAGAGTGACCTTTTCAATTCCAAATATTTAATCATTTGGGCTGCTGCAGCCTGAGAATCATACCGATTCGCACGCAGAAACATCATCCGAAACTTTCTGCTGGTGACATAAGTTCGATCAATAGCTTCGGCAGTCTCATAGACGGTCCCTCGCTTGATACTCTGCAGGTGCGTATTAAGGAGCTGCAACCACAAATCAACAGAAGCAGGATTGCTCTCGGGGTTTTCACTGTTACGTATCCCGTGCAATTCTTCTAAAACTGTTTCTCTTTTGTCCACATGCATTGAAAGTTCAGCAATGGAAATGGCGCGGTCAATACACTTCGTCAGCCACAAAGTTGGAAGCATCACAATAAGGCAGATTTTAGACTTACCGCTGCTGAACATCTAACTGGGCCATGGAACTTGCAAGAAACGAATCAAGCTCTTGCGACGTTGTTCCCCTGTGGGTATTTTCTGCACAAACATGTGGCACCAGCGGGGAGCCTGGCCCGTTCATAAGCCTCTGTAGCCAATAGTTGTCCATCTTGTTTATGATAAGGAAACCGAATTGGAGTTGCTTTTCGATATTATTGCATATTGGATGCGAGCAATGTGCAATCGAAATAAAAAATTTGAACGGAGAACGCACGGCTAATATTCAATACATATTATTATATACAATGCGGGTTCATCATCCACCCCATTTTTTGAAGGGAGTTTCAAGGTTCCCTTTTATTGGCACCATCCAGATTATTATTTTCCTATATTACTATCGTATAATTTTATCACTGCGTTTCATCATTTGTCATGGGACAAATATCAACCTTTCTCAGGCTTGTTATCGGACTACAGAGCATCATTGGTACTGTTGTCTTTGTTTTGGAGTCACCATGTGTGGGGGAGACCTTTCAGCGCTCCAATGATTGCACACATCATGAGAGAGGCGAAAAATTCAGCTCCACCAGTCTTGCAATCATTTCAGATGTACTCCAAATCCAGCACCTACCATCCGTAATCCTTCCTTCTGAGTGCTTCTCAAATCCTCATAAGTTTTCAAAACCCATTGCTAGATTTCGATGCAGCAAGGCTTGCTTGTTCCAATCCCGACTATGACGACCAGCCGTACACGCAGTACACACGTTGTCAAGAGTCAGCTTTGATAGCCCTCGTCACCCGGCTTCCGTAACGTTATCAGATAATTTCACTATCGCCAAGACGCTCTATGACTTGTTTTTCGCGCGGCTGGGTCGTCGAATATTCCTGAACGTGTGTGCAATTTTCCTACTGGCCTCCGTATGATTGGCTTCTTCCCACTCCTTCGTATCTTCATTTTGCTTCAAGAACCGTCCGCCCTTCTTCGTGATTTCATCTATTATCGTCTTCGTGAGCTGCATCTTATCCCTTTTAGTAGACTCGTTGTATTCGGTAAGTACCGTGAGAACTAGATTTCTCATCAGGATATTGCCTTCGTTCTTCCTACTACCGGGTCCAAACAAAACATCCCCGGGTCGAGGAATAATGGTGTGTGTTGACGCGAGAGATTGCATATCGGTATCACTGTCGCTCACATATGTCAGTTCCAGCTCTTGTCTGTGACGATACCATTGCAAATGGTCCATCAGATCAGGTTCGTTGGAGTCATTGAGAATGGCTTCTTTGGGAATGCCAAACGATGACAGCTTGTAGAGACAGTCTGTGCAAGAACCGTAGTGCACCCTCATACGCGGTCTCATTGCAAATGGTAAGCGCAGCACTGCTACGCTTATCAAAATATAGGCTGCCAGGCTGTTGAAACAGCAATGAAGGCCGGCATAGAACACTGGCAGATCCCACAGAAGGCCAGAGTTTGATGCATGCTGATTACGATGTGACGCTAGCGCACCGAAGTAAATCAGGATTATACCATTCCTTTGATGCTCTTCAGATTCCATCATATTCATAAGAACATAATATCGAGCTCTGAGCACGGTTTCGACTTCGGCTGTGGTTTCTTCACTCCGAAGAGACGGAAAGACAAGAAAAATAGCCCTCCCTGATCGATCTCGTTTCGTCGATATTTGCGCAGCACCCGATTCGAGATACTTTTTGTCATCCACATTCAGATCGGCCAGTGTTATCTTCCTTGTCAGTTTTTCTTGGCCAAAGATTGACCGCTTCAACTCCAAGAATTTAATCATTTGGGCTGCTGCAGCCTGAGAATCATACCGATTCGCGCGCAGAAACATCATCCGAAACTTTCTGCTGGTGACATAAGTTCGATCAATAGCTTCGGCAGTCTCATAGACGGTCCCTCGCTTGATACTCTGCAGGTGCGTATTAAGGAGCTGCAACCACAAATCAACAGAAGCAGGATTGCTCTCGGGGTTTTCACTGTTACGTATCCCGTGCAATTCTTCTAAAACTGTTTCTCTTTTGTCCACATGCATTGAAAGTTCAGCAATGGAAATGGCGCGGTCAATACACTTCGTCAGCCACAAAGTTGGAAGCATCACAATAAGGCAGATTTTAGACTTACCGCTGCTGAACATCTAACTGGGCCATGGAACTTGCAAGAAACAAATCAAGCTCTTGAGACGTTGTTCCCCTTGGGGTATTTTCTGCAGAAACATGTGGCACCAGCGGGGAGCCTGGCCCGTTCATAAGCCTCTGTAGCCAACTGTTTTCCATCTTGTTTGACAAGGAAACCGAACTGGAGTCGCAGTGAAAAACTGTATTGGATGTGCAATCGAAATAAAATATGGAATACGCATCGTATTTATAGAATACCTTCGTACCAGTCGAACGTCGTCTGTTTGTCCATCAGATAATAGCCGTTGTTGAACGTCTGCACCCCAACGGCTAACGTATCCAAAGTATCTTATTCAGGTATCAAGATTACCAATCTTGATTACCATCTTCCCTTGCTAAGCTTCGCCACATTCTCAACGTTGTTAAGACTAAGCATCGCCATTGCATGCGTTGAGATGGTCGGAGTTTCATCCTGTTTGCATCCTTCACAACACAAAATCACTATAATTTTCAGAATACTGTTTTATCACACATCTTTCGGACATTTACAACTATTTCAGTACTTGAAGCACAACAAGCCTGGACAACCTTGTACCTGCATTCTCAAGTAATCAAGGCTGTACACGCTACAGCTTTGAGTGGTTATTTACGCCCAATTTATACCTAATAAGTTACGCTACCAGCCTCTGTGGAGACGTCCATTAGAGCTACCAACCAAAGCTCTCCGAGCCTACAACAAAGAAGTACTTCACTAGCTTCCCAAGCTACCACCAGCTCTCCGAGCATCGATCGAGCTTTCCAAGCACCTACCTACCGGCCCACAAGCTTTCCAAGCTCACATTTGCAAAGATAGAGACTCCGTCTCGCCCAACTGGTCCTACAGGAGACGGCTCTCCAGCATCTCTTGTTGACGTCGCCGCAGAACTCAACGACGACTCAGTTGGCTCCGACTGGGACAACAACACCGCTAGTTCCACAAGCACATCGCCTCCCATGTCGGGCACCACCTCAACTTTCCAGCTCCAACCGCCCATCATGGGTTACACCATGGAAATCAACAGCTCTGGCGACAAGATGGCAGTCGTTGGAACTGGCAAACCATTGAAGGACTGGAGCGCATTGGACACCAGTGCACCATTGGCATTTTCTCCAAACCAGCAACGTCCCATCTATGGAGATGGGAAGTACCGTCATCTACGTACCCA